GCCTGTACATCGTGCTTGCTGCCATCAGAGGGAGGGAGTGCCACCCGGTTCTCGCTGGCGTGAAACTGGCAGTGAATCTGGGCACTGGCCCACGCCAGCATCTCACTGGGAAAAGAGAAGAGCAACACTCATGTTTGTGCTTTAAACCTGGATTACAGGAAGCATGAACTGAGAGAAGAGCAGGTCTTTCTGCTCAGCTCCATGTGGGACTGCTAGCCTGGGAGAAAGGACTTGCTTCACCATCACTGAAGCCACCCTCACAGCCCCACTCCAAACAAGCCTTTGGAGCAAGCTCAAGATGAGGTGCTGACACAAAGCCACTTCCGCTCCATCTGCTGACAGGAGTTTCACCCAAAGCCTGGCTCTGGGCCTGAAGGCTCTTCTTCAGCAGCAATATTTGCAGCCTGAGCCACAACACCTGAGGACAGCACAGACACCCCTGCCCTGAGAAGCCCACTGTACATATGTGGCAGAAGACAGCCACCAGTGCAGGTGGGCAGCCACCCCTTCCATGGGGACAGAGGTGAAGTGTCCTGTGCAGAAGCTCACAGGGATCCTCCAGCAAATATGCTGAGGTGAAGCATCCCAAGATCCGGTCCCAAGCCTTACTCACTGAATCGTCTTTCTCATCACCCACAGCTTGGGACTGGCCACACAGTGCACTCTTGAGAGAACACCTCTACTCATCATGCATGAGCCAGGCCTGGCAGAGGGCTTTTAGCCACAAAGAACTGAATCCCAAGCCAGAAGTGACACACAGAGCAGTACTGCGAGGCATTTTGGTAATAACAGAACCGTCAGGGAAGTGGGCAAATTCAAAAGCAACAACTACTTACAACCTGGGGTCAGCTGCCCCTGCTCACAGTACCCAGTGCTGCAAGCTCGACACTCCCCAGGGCAGGCAGGGCACAGACGTGCTCCCTTTGCACAGCACTGTCCCCCTCAGGAACGCCAATTTCTGTCTTTGTCAGGCCATAGAAGGACACTTCTGGGTCCTTCATAAGGACCTATTTTCTCCTCCTGATGCAAGGGACTTGCTGATAGCTGTGGTGGAGGTAAAGGTGTCATTTTACCCCTTTTCTGTTCAGCCACAAGAACTGGCATGAAAAGCAGCGTCATGTCCTGGACCCTGTTATGATCACCAGCGATTCCACAAGATATTTCCCCTGGCAGTACTGATGCTTCTCAGTTTTGAAAACACTCATCTATTTTATTTCAATAGCAGCAGAATTTTTATTTCGATTAGCCAATGTATGGTTCCTCTGGTGTTTTCTAACACCACTACCTGATTAGTAAGCACTGACACTACTTCTAGGTGGCACAGGGATTTTTTGTGGCACACAGGTATCTCTCAATGTGACACATCAGAGCAGTTAAACGTCCAGACAAACCAGAGGGAGAGGTGTGCTGCATTTGTTTCAGCTGACTAACAATGTGTTATTTGATCTTCTGTATGTGCTGGCTGCCTCTACACAAACACGTGTTGGTTAGTCTATCCAGTTACCTCTAACCCCACAACTGTCATCCTGTATCTTCAAAAGCACCGGCATGACTTTTCCATAAGGGCTGCCATAAGGTTGTAAGGTATCTGGGAACATATATGGCAACAGAGAAAAAAAAAAATCTTAAGAGACAATATTCACTAATTTTATATAGGGCCACGAATATATCTATATATATTTTATATATAGTCCATGAACACGCTGCAAGGGCTGGATCAGCTCTGCTCTGGAGACAGGCTGAGCGAGCCGGGCTGGTTCAGCCTGGAGAAGGCTCCAAGGAGACCTTTTAACAGTCTTCCAGTACCTAAATCAGAGCTACAAGAAATCTGGAGAAGGACTACAGGCTACAAGGTCATGTAGGGACAGGACAAGGGGAATGGCTTTATGCTGACAGAGAGGAGATTTAGATCAGACATTACGAAGAAGCTGCTCACTATGAGGGTGCTGAGGCACTGGCACAGGGTGCCCAGAGAAGCTGTGGCTGCCCCATCACTGGTAGTGTTCAAGGCCAGGCTGGACGGGGCTTGGAGCAACCTGCTCTAGTGGAAGGTGTCCCTGCCTGTGGCGGGGGGTTGGAACCGGATGAGCTTTAAGGTCCTTTCCACCCAAACCATTCTGTGATTCTACAGGCTCAGCACGATTACATTACCTTCAAATTCAAACACTGTCTTTTGACTCTTTCCCTCCCCCCACCCCCCAGTATTGCCTGACAACAAACTGCTGGATTGGTTTCATTTTTCTAACCAGACACCCAAACAAAATTTGCATGGCCTTTCCTACCAAACACCTGGTTGCTCCAGCCGACAGGGTGCAGAAGGATCCTGTGCTGGTGCTGAGGTCACTTCCTTCCTCTCTCACCTCCCCCTGTGGCTCCTGTAGCCCACAGGGGCCACGCTTCACACAGCCTTTGGGCAGAAGACCTTTGTTTCTTGTATACCACCACCAGATTAACTTCCTGGCATTTACTGACTGTCCTTTAGTTCTGTCCCTACACTTGAAATACGTGCTTCTCGGTTCCACCACCTCCACCACAGCTTCTGACAGCCTTGAAAGCTTCTAGTCCCTGACAGGTCTATCTGCCTTTTGCAGTGACTGCGCTTTGGTCTGGCTCCTGCCTTTACGCAACCCACATTGTGTAAATTGGTATTTGGTGTTGCCACTCGTATGACTTCGCCAGGTCTCCTCAGTTTTGGTTGCCTGCTTCTTTATTTTAAAGACTTTCCAAGTGGCAGTTTTCTGCAGATCAGGACACAGCTGAAGTTCCCAAATGAAGCTTCTGTAACCGCACTGTGAACCTCCAAAACTACTCCACTTGCAGTCCCACATGTGTCAGAACTAGTCAAAACAGCACTGGAAAGGTAGACATACATCACAGCCAAATGTGAAAACTGAATTCGGCACGCAAAGTGAACCAGGAAGAAAAAGATGAAAAGTTGAGGAAGGCAATAAACAAAGAAGCCCTACGGCACTAATACAAGACACCGCTTTGCTGCTGCTGAGGCTGCAAGCACTGGAAGCACGCCCACCAAAACAATTACGTGTGAAATATGTGCAGGTGGTGAAAAGATGCTGAACCTGACAAGTCTGAGAATGGACACTTCCCAGGGAGGGCTCAAGATGAGAAAGCACTCTCCACCCCTGGGAGAACCAGACAAGGCCACACAATCAGCGGACATGGATGCTTTCGGTGACTACTTACGACGTGGAGTCACCCACTGTGAGCCAATATAGGAAGCTTCCTTACTGTCACGTTTCCTCAACACCTCTTTCAGGCACAGCAATGATAAGGGGAGATGCAGCAATCAAATGCTGGGCCACAGAAAATGCTGCCACAGAAGGCTGCCTTTTTCTGACTATGGGCAGTGCTTGCCCCTCTGCCTGCCAGCTCTGGAGGCAGGCATCACACTGATGTGCCAGCACAATGCTGGACAGAGAGAGCACCTTCCATAAACATAGGAAATCATGACATCTGGAAGTTGCTCTGTGAGACTGTCACCCTGGTGTAACTAGATATCCCACTTTGGCAGCCTGTTTGGCTTCATTTTCTGCTGGCAACCCTGTCACTGAGGGCTCATCTGAAGAGCAGTTAAAAGCAACTTTAACTGCATAGCGTTTTTTCTTGTCTCTTTCTTGAGGGCAGAAAACCAGAGTAATTACCTCAGTTTCAGCCCTGAAACAGCAATGGTACAAAGCACTCTTAAGGGAGTACTGCAGGCAGGGAAGTCACCAGTGGCTGAGCTAGCACCACTGTCCCACAGAACAGCCATGACATTTGGCCGCTCAAGAGGGAGGGAATGCTGTCCCCTTTGGAAGCACCCAGGCAGAGGCTTCATGCATGGAAGGGCTCACTGGCACAGGCTGCCATACCTGCTGGCAGACGTAGATGAGGCTGATAACGGGTTGGTGAAAGTGATCACACACTCCAGCACCTCCCCTGCCAGGAACACAGGCCCACGGCCCAGCTTGGCCAACACTTCAATCATGGCTTTGACAGCACTGCTGCACACCTGCCAAGAAATAAAGGAACAGTGGGCATGGAGACAGGGCTAGGTGGTGTGGCAGAGAGGGACAGCAATAGCCAGGTGCGGCATGTGCACACGGGGAAGTCAGGGAGAGCCCCAATTCTAAACACGTACAGAACACAGACATTTACAGAGGTCAGAGACAGCTCTGGCCGGGCACACACATACATACACACACATGCACCACTACCCCTCCTCACATGCACACGGAAGTTAGGGAGAGCCCCAGCTCTAAATATGTATAGCACACAGACACGTATCGGGGTCAGGGACAGCTCTGGCCTGGCACACACAGACAGATATATACACTCCTCACACACATGGCAGGGGGGAGAGCAGAGACAGCCCCAGCTCTTCACTCACACACGGAAAGCAAGCACAACCCTGGCCATATACATAGTTATACAACCCCTGCCTCAGCCCCACAGAGACTCAAGGGGGCCAGTACATACTGAGGGGGGTTCGGGCCAGCCCTGCCACCTCAACCCAGGCGGCTCAGGAGCGGCCCCGACAGCAAAAGCACGCACGTAAAACACCCACCTGAGGGGTCGGAGACACAGCACCGCACCTTCCCCGCAGCCCCAGGCCGCTCCGGCCGCACTCCCTGCCCCGCACAGAGCCACCACCGCTTCAGGCCCAGCTTCCCCTCAGCTCTTCCGACCTGCTCGGCGGCGTTCGGGGCCTTTTCGGCAGCGTTCGGAGCTCACTCGGCACCTTTCGGGGAGCGCTCGGGAACTCTCGGGGCTCGCTCGGGAACTCTCGGGAGCTCTCGGGCGCCGCTCAGCAGCGCTCGGCCGGGCGCCCTGGGGATCGCCGGCCGCTCCGGCGGCGGGGCGGAGCCGGGTTTCCGGACGCGCTCGGAGGCGCCGTGCCCCGGGGCCGCGGGCGGGCTGGGGCCGGGGCTGGGCAGGGGCGGCCGGGGCGGGGCCGGGCGGTGCACGGTGAAGAGGGCACACAGGGCACACGGGGGCCGGTGATGGCGGCAGCGATCCCGCTGGAGCGCCGAGCGGCTGGGGACGGCGCCGGGCCGCGGCGTGGCGACGGCCGGCTGGCGGCTCTGCCTGGCGCACCGCTTCGAGGAGCTGCGGCAGCCCTACGGTGCCGGCGATGTGTCGTTCCGCGACGTCCTGCGGCACATCGGACTCGCCTTGCGGTACGGGGGGGGGGGGGGGGGGGGAGATGGGGATCGGGAGCGGGCCCTTGCGGAGCCCGTCGGTGCTGCGGCGGTGCCCCGGTGGACAGAGGGCAGAGTACGGCGCATCACGGAAGGCCCCGGGCTGCCGGCTCCCCTGGCGCCAGCGCTGATGTAGACAGACTCAGGCGTACTTAAGGGCTCTTTAAAACCGAGCAGGAGCTGGGAGGGCTTGGGATATGGTTTGGATGGGGCTTTACCCCTACCTCTGCCCCCTGAGGCTCGCTGCCGGTGCCGCATCACCCCGAGCAGTGCCCGGTGCTCAGCTCCTGGCATAAGGCGCTTTTCGGTAGATGGAGATTAAGCTCGAGGTGAATTGGGAGCATTTTGAGAGGCCATGTGCTGTAGGGGGATCAGGAATGGGGGTTCTCCTGGCTTTGCGTTAGGGTGACCTGGAAGGAAGCAGGAAAAACGTGCGTGGGAAACGGCAGTGTCGTGTTAACCTTTAGAGCGGCAGCCCGGCTGCTGGGGGTGTTTGCACACCCGTCACGATGAGCACTGAAGCCAGTGATGGTATGATTTATTTCCTGATGCTGTCTCTATGTCTCCTGCCTCCATTTTCAAAGCTGCTTCTTCTTCCCCCTCCCTGCTCGATGACCTTGGAAGCTGCTGCTTGCAAAGCCTGATGAAGGGGCAGATAGCGGACCACTTCGGGGTGACCTGAGACATCCTGGCATGAGCCTGGGCATAAGGGGAGGGAGAGCGTGGGTCATGCATGGGAGAGAAATGCTGCTGGAAAAGCTGCCAGTGCAGGTTTGGATGAGCTGAACGTGTAGGAGAGCGGGAAGTTCTGGTATGGTGAGCAGTGAAAGGGGAGGTGATTGCCCCTGCAGCAGCTTGGGGTTCTGGAATGGAAGTAGCTTGTATCAGCCCTGCAGAAAGGTTTTAAGGTTCAAAAGCAAGAAGCTAAAAGTCAAACTGTTGCCTCTTCCCTCACAAATTTAGGAGGTAGTTTGGTTATCAGCTCCAAACACTTGCACAGAGCAAACCCTCCTTGCAGGGAAGCTCCAGGTTTCTGCAGATGGCTGGTGTGCCCTGGCAGGGGGTCACAGCACGGATCTGGAGTAGTTAGGTAATGCACAGACATGTTCTAGTTCCACTGCCAATTTGAAGGGAAAGAAATGCCCTCCAGCTTTGGCAAGGAGCTTGGGAGCTGCAGAACACGAAGACTCTCCTGGTTATTCTGCAGCCCTGGCAGAGCTGTTAGCAGCCAGCGACTGGACATCGGCCACCTTTCTCTTCTTGGCTTGCACGATGCTGCGAGAAGCTGGTGGGGGAACAGTTTGCTATTGAGATGGCAGAACGGCTCAGGCAGTGGCTGGCTGTTAATTGCAAACCTCTCCTGCTGCATGCTCATAGGAAGTCTGCTTTTTGAGACCCTATGTCACCTCCTTTGCAAGGAGCTGGGAAGCCACGCTGCAACTGTTCTGCCTGGGCACCCTGTTTCCTGTCACCAGAAACCTGCTGGGGAAGCGGCTGGGTTGGTTCCCTGGTTCTAGGTTAATGACACAAAGAAGTGAAATAATTTCCTTGAGAGAGAGCACGCTGCCAAAACCTCGCCTCAGCAGCCTAAAGCCAGGGCTGTCTCAGCTGGGAGAAGAGCAGTTGCAAGCAGATGTAGCTTGGAGATAGTAGCAGGCCCTGACTGAGGGTTGGTTGTGCAGGACAGGCTGGTTCTCATGGTGCCCTGGACCTCTGCAGGCAAAATGTTCTTAAACAGACAGACATGGAGGTGTAGGAATGGAGAGCAGCCTGTAGCCCAGAAAACATCAACCCAAGAAGGGTTTGGGGACCTTTGATATCGATGACTAAAGGTGAACATCCAGTGGCCACGTAGTCAAAGTGCGGTTGTGTTTGGTTGTGGAAGAGTGTGGAGGAGGAGTGTTGTGGGAAAGCCTCTCCCCTTTGCTTCTGGGGGTACATGTCTGGGGAATTACTGCTCACCTATTGCCCATCACCAGCATCCCACCAGCCATTGGAATAGAGCAGGCTCCCACTTGGGTGACTTTGCCCTCTCAACACTATGGCATTGGTGCCTACAGATACCTAAAGGGGACTACAAGAAATATGGAGAGGGACGTTTTACAGGGGCAGGTAATGACAGGACAAGGAGGAATGGCTTTAAACTGAGGGGAGATTTACATTAGGCGTTAGGAAGAAGTTTTTCACTATGAGGGTGGTGAGACACTGCACAGGTTGCCTGTTGTAGGGCTCCCATGCCCCTGTTTGGCACCAAGGGCCATGTAGCCACTGGTTGGGTTTTGCCTGTCTGTTTGCTGTGGGAAGCTCATCAGCCTCATCTAGTCTGGTAGCTCTTTTCCGTATGCTAATTGTCTCCCTGAGGAAGATTTAACTTGGGGCGGTTCATTAGCCAAAGCCAGTCCTTTACGAGCGCTGAGCCGGAGCCCAGCCTGGCTCCTCTTGCCCGCAGTGGTGCTGGCACACCCAGGCTCAGGTGTGCCCCTGTTTGGGTGTTTCTGGATTCCCAGGCCTTTGGGTGAGGAATTATCTGATGGGCAGTGCCTGGCTGCACAGCTGGTGTGTGAGCAGAGGTGAGTCCGCAGGCAGGCAGCATGGCCTCCTCCAGGGCAAGGCTGCCCCGTGCCATCTGCACCTGGGGATGTGGCACTGGCAGGGTGCTGTGTGACCATGGGGACATGGAAGTGGAAGACCAAGGTTCATGTCTCTGCAGTGTATGGCTTCCCTGGGCTTGTGCTTCCGCTCCCAGACCTTCCTAAGTGAGGACATGCCCAACCAAGTATGGAGGTGGTGGTCCTTGTGTGCATTACCCCTTCCTCATGGAAAGGCTGGGAGCCCTGTTCTTGAGTATCAGAGTGCTCTGTTTTCATGCTGTGCCCTTGCTCTGCCTGCTTATGTCTGCTGACATGGTGCAGATGGATGGCAGGGGCTGCCACCCCGTGTGCCCTGGGACACAGGTTCCAGTTGTGCATGCCTACAAGAGGGATGTACAACAGCTGCAACATATGCTGGTCACATACTGCCCAGTGACACTGAAGGAACAGTGACACATGCTTCCATCTTCTTTCATACTTCCCTTTCCCTTACAGGTACTTCAGGTGGTGGTACAAGAAGACCCGCATAGAGAAGAAATCCGCCTTCATTGACCTCTTGTGTGCTGTTCCTCTGCAGCAGATCTATGGTCAGCCTCCAGTTTGGGCACTGGCGCAGTTCAGGGTGGGCAGGGGTTCACATGGGGCCATCATGGCACTAGAGGGGGGGAAGTGGGACAAGGAGCTTCTGGGATGTGGGCAGTAGGATTCCTTGAGCCAGATCCCGGCATGGGGAGCATTGGAGGTGCTGATTTGTGGTGTCTTTGGCAGGGTGCCCGCTGGGCGGGATCGGAGGAGGCACCATCACCCGTGGCTGGCGGGGGGAGTTCTGCCGCTGGCAGCTGAACCCTGGCATTTATCACTATGGGACTGTCATCGCTGACCAGGTAGGTGCAGCAAGGCCTGCAAGGGGTGCGTTGGGTGGTTGAGGCATCTGCTGTCTGGCTCCTCTCACCCCTTCACATGCATCTCTCCTCTCCAGTTCACGGTGTGCCTGCGTTGCAAAGGGCAGACGGTTTACCAGCAGGTCTTGTCCACAGAGAAACCCAGCACTCTGCAGGGCTGGAACTGGGGGTACTGTGGCCACTATGCCTTCTACCATGCCCTGTACCCTCGTGCCTGGATGGTCTATGAGCTCCCAGGGCAAAACGTGGTGCTCACTTGCCGCCAGGTCTCTCCCGTCATCCCCCATGACTATAAGGTAAGGAGGTGGTGGCTCCGTGCAGGTTGCAACCCGTTCCATGGGAGCACCGGGTCACACAGCACTGCTGCAGCATGGCTTTCATGAAGCAGGTTGGCTGGGATGTGGCAGAGCTGCCTGCATGGGAATGGGAAAGCCTGGAGAAGAGAAGGCTCTGGAGGCCTTAAAAGAGTCTTGCAGTCTGTAAAGGTGGCTAGAAGAAATCTGGGGAGGGATGTTTTACAAGGGCATGCAGTGACAAGACAAGGGGGAATGGCTTTAACCTGACGAAGGGAAGATTTCAGATTAGACATTAGGAAGAAGCTGCTCACTTTGAGGGTGCTGAGGTGCTGGCACATGGTGCTCAGAGAAGCTGTGGCTGCCCCACCCTTGGCAATGTTCAAGGCCAGGTTGGACGGGGCTTGGAGCAACCTGCTCTGGTGGAAGGTGTCCCTGCGTGTGGCAGGGAGCTGGAACTGGATGAGCTTTAAGGTCCCTTGCAACTCAAACCATTCTGTGATTGGCACAGCAGACACAGGACTATACTGTGTGATGCTTGATGTGTCGTGTTTTGGTAGCAGAGGCTTGGAGTGGTGAGATTTTGACCCCTGAATGTTGTCTGTGTATCAGGGGATGCTGCAGTAGCGGAGTTCATTACCTGAAGACAACCAGACTTGCCACCTTGTTAATGTTCTTTCCCAGCCTGGTCTCTTCTGCCCTAAGGCCCTGTCCTAGTGCCAGCTGCCAGGTGGAACGCTGGAGGGCTTTTCCCCTCCTGGAGTAGTTGGCGTTGAAAGGGTTATCCCTGTTTCCTTACTCTTATCTCTGGCAGCTGCTCTTTCCCCTCTGAACTGTGCTTTGACTCTTTGTACTGCCTGTTTCCTGCCTTCGGTTTTTTCCTGTGACCATCCCAGCTCCCATCCACCCGGAATGGCAGGTCCAGGGCTGTGACCTTCCTGCCCAGAGGATCCGGTGGTAGCGCTTTGGGAAGCCCTCAGCCTCTACTCATGGGTTGATTTGTCAGCTGGGTGTTCCAGAGAGTGCTTTAGCTGGCTTTTGCCTGCCATGCCCAAGGGAAAAGCTGCTTATTAGCAGGGCTTTCCCAGCTGGGCTTCCCCAACACTTCCCTGTGCTCCCAGGCAGGAGGAACCCCCACAGCAATGTGGGAGCTCGGGATGGCAGCAAGGGATGCCTCAACACTCCTGCTCATTCCCAGCCCCAGGCGAGGGTGGGAAGCTGTGCTGCTAACATGCCTGACCTTCCTCTTACCCCAGCAAAGCACGTGAGCCTGTATCAACCTGTTTAGCAAATGAGTGGTGAGACACCTATCTGAGCACTGAACGCTGCTTTCCGTCTGTGTATTGCCCCATGTGGGGCTTGCTAGTTCAGGGCTTGTGATTTGTGTTTTGTATATCCTGCCCCTGCCATTCCTCTATTCCAATTGCTGCTCCCCATCTTGGCAATGGGCTCTGAGACCAAGTTGTTCCTTGCTGTATCCCATGTGGTCTCCTAGGTAGTGGGAGAAGTGATGCTCCAGCAGCTACCCATGGAGCACCAGCCCTGTTCACTGCCTTGTCTGTCCCTGCCAGGACTCCAGCCTGCCAGTGGGAGTCTTCATCTGGGAGGTGGAGAATGGGAGGGATGAGGACGTGGACGTCTCCATCATGTTCAGCATGCAGAATGGCATGGGAGCGAAGCAGGACAGGAGCGGAGGGCACTGGAATGAGCCCTTCACCCTTGAGAAGGAGGGCGAGCGGGTTGCTGGTGTCTTGCTGCACCACTGCACGCGTGTGAACCCCTTCACCCTTGCCATCTCTGCCCGGGAGAAGGTAAAGGGCTGGCACTGGTGGTATGGCTCCTGCTGGGGGGGGTTGTACAGCCCTGCTGAAAGTGGGGGGGCTGGTGAGGGATGGGTGTGCAATGGGTTGGGTTTGGCACCCATCCTCAGTGCTTGACCACTGGAGCAGGGGTGGGGACATGATGTTCCTGAGGGTGCCCTCTTTGTGGGTGGGTGCCAGGAGGGACATAGGGAAGGTTTAAGATTGGACATTAGGAAGAAGCTTCTCCCTGTGAGGGTGCTGAAACACTGGCACAGGGTGCTCAGAGAAGCGTCCCTATGGGTGAAGCTTGTAGGGTGTGTAGGCTTGGAGTTAGTAGTTTGGAGTTAGAGCAGTGTGTGGGGAGCGAGTGTGATGTCCCAGTGTTGTTAAAGGGGACAGATGTGCATCTGCCCCTCAGAAAGTACTGCTCCCTGATGATGCTCTTCTCTTCCACAGGCTGGCACAGGAGTCACACACCTCACGGCATTCAATCCTGCGGGATTGGGTAGAGAGGTGTGGCAGGACCTCCTGCATGATGGCAGGCTGGAGTCACCCCCTGGTGAGTCCCTCTGTCCTCTGGGGGCTAGGTGGAGGGGGAGTGGGCAGAATAGGTGGCCACACTGGTCACAGGGAACCCAAGCAAGGGTGGATTTCTCCTCTCCATCCACTTCAGTGCTATCACAAAAAGCTCTTAGTTATGCTGTCATTCATTCCCAGCTTTAGGCTGTGTCCAGATTTCCCATAGCTTGTCATGCTATCCTTGTTGTGGTTCCCCAAAGCCGTTTGCACCATTCTGGGGCTATGTTAGTTGCACATGCCAGTGTTTTGATAGTCTGTGTAGTGTAGTGTTCACACTGAGCGGATGTTTCTGCTGAGTAGCCAGGGTGATGCCTGGCTGCCTTCCCTCAGTTCCTATTGCCACATCTGCAAGCTGGGCCTTGTCAGATTTGTTCTAACAGGCGTTTAGCAGTCCTTGGGGTTTGGTGCTGCTACCACTTGCTGTCCTCTTGTTACTATATCAGCTCCCTGAAGGCCCCTGGTATTCCCTTGACACTTCTGCATCATCCTCCATTGTCTGCTTCCTCCCTGGGCAGAAGCCTTGAAGCAGGGTGGTATCTCCAAGCCCTTGCTACTAACCTCTCATTGTGACCATTTGCCTAATGCCCCTGCCAGCTTTTGAACAAGGACAATGCTGACAAACTAGTGACACTGGCAATGGGCCTCTGCGAGATTCCTTGAAGCCTAAATTATGTAAATAGGATGTTTACATAAATATTTCCGGAAAACTAAATTTCCTGCCTAGTTGCACTCTGAGTTCTCCAGGCTATTGGAATGTGGTTTTCCATCATGCATGCCAAGCATTATCATAGCAAGAATCTGTGCTTCTGTTAAAATTGTTGCTATAATGAGTTTACCTGGTACACATGTCAGAGCCAGCGTGTAATTATCCACCTGCCTCAGGGCTTTCTGTAAACACAGGCACAGTCCAAGCACCATGCAGAAAGCCTGGAAATGATGACTTGTCACTAGAAAGTCACAGCACCTCTGAGTGCAGCGCAGTTACAAAGTCATGGGATGCTCTGTCCCTTCCACTCATGCCTGGTGGCTTTTCCTGCCTGATTTGTTCCTCTGCTTTGATGACTAACTTCTTTTAACCTCTCCGCCCATGGCAGGTATTTTTTTCCTGCTTGCAAAAAGCAGTTACCTCGCATCGCCATCCCTGGAAGTGTTCAAAAAGCACATAGATGAGTGACATGGTTTAGTGGTGGATTTGACAGGCCCTGAAGGGACAGTTGGACTTGGCGACCATGAAGGGCTTTTCCAACCTCGTTTATTCTATTGTTCTATGTAGTAATGTCATCCCTTGAGACCCTGGAGATGTACCGTCCAGGTTGCAAGGGGGTGCAAACATAGAATCTTAGAATAGTTAGGGTTGGAAAGGACCTTAAGATCATCTAGTTCCAGCCCCCTGCCCATAGGCAGGGACACCTCACGCTAGTCTCATTCCTATTGGAATGCATGGGAGCATCAGTTACCCCACCTCCATAGGGCTTCCTTGATTGCTCGTGGATACGTTTTAATGCTGTTTGTCTCCTGTCAGGTAAGAGCAGCCTGACAGAGAAGGGGGAGCTGACAGCAGCAGCAGTGTGCGCCAGCTGCACAGTGCCTGCCCGGGGACACAGGACGCTGGAGATGGCCCTGGCTTGGGACATGCCCTGCATTCACTTCGGCTCCAAGGAGAAGCTGCACCTCAGGTGGGTGGGTTGTGTCTCAAAGCCTCCTTCCTGCCTCTGGGTTTGAGTGCTGCCTGGGGAGCTTTGTGCCACCCATTCCCTGCCAGCTCACAGAGGGGACCATCTCCCCAGCCCCTGTTCCCCACTGCCCCCGCACTAGCAGTCACATTATCCTGGTATTCACTACAGTCCAGCCCCTCTCCTGTGCCAGGGTGGACTCTTCCCAGCCTGATCCCGTGGCATACTCGCCAAACCTCTGTTTGCAGGCGCTACACCCGTTTTTTTGGCAGCGGAGGCGATGCTGCTCCTGCTCTCTCACACTATGCCCTGACGCACTACAAGGAATGGGAGAGGAAGATCGAAGCGTGGCAGAATCCCATCTTGGAGAACAGGTAGGGTGGATGAGAGCACTTTCCCAGTGCCCTGCTGGGACTGGTGAGAGCAGAAGCGTCACCCCCTCATCCGCTGCGGCTGAGTTTCCCTCTTGCCTGTAGCCAACTGCCTTCCTGGTACAAGTCTGCCCTCTTCAATGAGCTGTACTTCGTGACGGATGGGGGGACCATCTGGGTGGAACTGCCCCCAGACTGCTGTGATGAGGACCTGCGGGGCCAGGCGGCGGCTGGCATCTCCCACCTCCTCCCTGTGCTGCGGGAGTACGGAAGGTTTGCTTATTTGGAAGGTAACTTGCAGGGACTCAATGGATGGTCCCAACTCCACCTCTCTCCCTGTTGGTGTCGCCAGGCGTTCTTAACCTGCTGTGGGGATGCTTTTCACACTCTGATAGGGAGAGGGCAGCACTGCTTCCAGCAAAATCCCTTGAAGGACCAAGCCGTGTAGGATACAGCATGAAGTCTTCTGCAGACCCACTGTATATAGGGAATAAAACCCCTCTTCTAACAGGAGCCTCTGCCTTATGCTGGGAAAGAGCCCACCTTCCTGGGCCATGTGGAAAGGAGGACCTGCCCCTCCTTTCCTCTCCCTGTGACAGGTCTCCCATCCCTCACCATCTCCCTGCTCCTTCCAGGTCAGGAGTACCGGATGTACAACACCTACGATGTCCACTTCTATGCCTCCTTTGCTCTCGTCATGCTGTGGCCCAAGCTGCAGATCAGCCTGCAGTATGACATTGGTGAGTGGCCCACAAGACTCTGGCTTTGTGCCTGCTGATGTCTTCACCTACGAAGGAGATGGAGGATTTGAGGCTGCATCTGCCGTAGAAATCTGTGCTGTGGAGTCAGCATCCTCCTCCAGCTCCTTCCTAGGTGAAGTGCTAGGCCCAGTACTGGCAAACCCACAATGTTGCTGCCTCAGTGTCTCTCTGCCCAGCAGTGGGATGCCTTCTTGCTGCACATGGAGTGCACAGGACCAATCCATGGTCTTATCAGCTCTTTTCATGCCCCTTGCAGAGTAGAACCATGTTTACAGACCCTGATGCTTTCGGTGGGTTTGGAAGCTGCTTGGTGGTGGCCCAACCAGTGGAGCAGCACAGCTCTTTGCTGGGCTATGAAAGGACTGAACCCCCTGGGCTTCCCTTCCAGCCTTGGGTGCTGCCACCCCCTTGCTGAAAGGGGTGGTGACAGCTGCATGTCACGTGCTGTGGGGAGACCGGGGGCAGCCTGGTGTCCTCTCTGCCTTTTGCAAAGGGCTGGGATCTTGTGGGCTTGATCCTACCCCAAAAAGCAGCCTGGCTTGCTGGTGGCCCTGCCAGTGCTTGGAGCTCGCTGCAGCACCTCCTGCCTTTCTGATGTCTTGCTCTGTGTCCCCTCCAGCTGTCACAGTGATGAATGAGGATGTCCAGCTCCGCCAGTATTTGATGTGTGGTCAGACAGCCCAGGTGAAGCTGAAGAATGTGGTGCCACATGACATTGGGGACCCAGGTAAGGGGTATGGATGGAGCGGATGGGGTGTGGGGCTGCTCACATAGCTCTCTTGGGGTAGTTATCTCCCAGGCTGGGCAAAAGAGGTATAGTGCGTGGAATACAGTTTGGGAATGACAAGCATGAGTGGTTTGGGGTGGTGGTGAAGAACATGCTGCATGGAGCTCACACAAGAGAGATGGGGCGGAAGCTGAGCAGTAGCAAGAAGGCTGCTCTTGACAGAGATGGCACAAGATGCAACATGTTATTTTGGTGCTGATGTATCACAGCACCCTTGGGACCTTGCTCCTCAGCAGGTGAGGGGACATTCATTGCTTACTGCCCTGCTGCATCTGCTCTATTCCTGCTTAGGTGATGAGCCATGGCAGCGTGTCAATGCCTACCTGATGCACGACACAGCTGACTGGAAGGACCTCAACCTGAAGTTCGTGCTGCAGGTGTACCGTGACTACTATCTGACACACGACTCCGTATACCTGCAGGACATGTGGCCAGTCTGCCAGGTATAGGGAGGAGATCACACTGTGGGGCATCCCCCTTCCACACTTCCCTTGGGAGCCATGCAGCATCCTGAGAGGATGGATGCTCCTGAGCAGAGTGTGAGGGGCTGCCAAGATTCAGAGGCTGTGTGACCATCTCCTGCCTCTTCTGCAGGCTGTGATGGAGTCAGAGCTGAAGTTTGACACGGATAATGATGGACTCATTGAAAATGGTGGCTTTGCTGACCAGACGTACGACGCATGGGTGGTAAATGGAGCCAGGTGAGCAGCAGAGCCGGATGGAAGGTTGGAGATGGGACCTATGGGGTGGGGAGGTATCTCAGAGCTAGAACTGTGGTCTCCATATGATGTGGGAGCTCTATGCAACCCATGAGGTGGCACAGATTGCTGATGGTTCTCTCCTTTGGCTCTGGCAGTGCCTACTGTGGTGGTCTGTGGCTGGCAGCAGTCTGCATGATGTGCAAGATGGCAGAGGTGCTCGGGGATGCCAAGATCCGGCAGAAATATATGGACATCCTGAACAAGGGCAAGGAGGCATTTGAGAGGAAGCTCTGGAATGGTGAGCCCTTGCTGGTGGGGAACCACATTCACTGGCCATGCATCCCTTGGGAATGGGGTGATTCCTTCTTGGGTAACAAAGCCTTGCAGGGGATGGGAGAAGGAGGCAAAATGCCATCCCTGCAAGTGGAGGGGAAGGAGCAGATACCAGAGAGGGAACAGAGAGGCTATGATGGCCTGGAAAAGGAAAGAAAAAGAGACCGTTCTGGAAAAAAGTGTTCTCCTGCCTCACAGAGAGAAGTGTAGGGGCAGCACACATGAGCTGGGGTGCCAAACTATTGAGTTTAAACTGCTTCCTGCCTTTTCCAGGAAAATACTACAACTATGACAGCAGTGGGAGTGGTGCTTCCAACAGCATCATGTCAGACCAGTGTGCTGGGCAGTGGTTTCTTGGGGCCTGTGGCCTGGACCAAGGGGAATTTGAGGTAAGAGAAGGGGGATCCTGGCTAGGATGAGATGGGACCTGCAGTAGCAGGGCTGGCATGTGGAGTGGGTTATACATTACAGATTGGTGCAGGGATCTCCATCCAGATATGCACATCCAACAGCCTCCACCAAAGCACACATCGGTGTACCCTTCCTTAAACCAAATCTGCTCATGGAAAGGAAGGTCTCACTGGGGTTTGTTCTTGGCAAGGGGCTGTTTGTTGAAAAACAGGAGGAAAAAGTGTATGAAACTTCTTTTGTGTTAGTTGCTGCCCAGTTTAGATTCCTGAATTATTATCCTAGGGAACTAAGACTGATTTGGGTCCCTAAAGTCTGTTTCTCTTCATTTGGAAGAGGAGAATTGGCTGAAGGCTCCTCTTACCTGATGGCATAGCAAGAGCAGCTGCTGGTGCTGCAGCACCCGGAACAGAGCTGGGAAGTACATTTAGCCCAGTGTGGGTCTTCAGAACAAGTGAATTGAGGCTGTGCCTGCGGCTGCAGGCAGAATCTGTCCCAGAGCCCGTGCAGTAATACCCAAACGTCCCTCTTGGGGGCAAACATTGAACTTGCTTCGGCCCGAAGATGCCGCTTTGCGTTTCCATAGCCTCAAGACTGTTGTTAACTGAAGGTGGCACTGTTTCTCTGCTGCCTGGTGAGCTTTGAGTTCACTGGAGGTGGGACTGGTAAACTACTTTCTCTTCTGTTACCATGGCTATCGAGGGCTTTTTTTCCTAAGTATTTTGATATCCTGCCTGGCTGGCAACGCTCCTGGTCTTAACCTCATTAATACACTCTCGATGGGTGTACAGTTCTAATGAAATAGAAAATAAGAAAAGCTAGTTTCTGCCAGAGATGGCTGCTTCACACCAACCCTTTCTGCTGATTCTGGCTCCCCAGCAGCAAATGGGCTTAGGTGGAAAGAAATCAGATCAAGTGAACTTGGATAACCTAGTCTCAACTAGTCGTTTCCAGCTATAACCATTCTATGATTACCTCCAGAGCCACAACAAGGGAGAAAATGACTGTGTTGGATGCTGGACTTCAGCACAGGTAGAATGCATTTGCTGCCCTTCTTTTGAGCCTAACAAAGCTGTGTGGTTGGACTGCCCAGGCTCCCTTGGCAAGCTTCTGCCTTGTGTCATTGCACCTTTTGGTCGCCCTGGTTCTGGTAGCACCAGAGTGGCAAGAAAGGTTCTTGGGCTGTGCTGATGACCTGCAGCTGCCTGGCTCTTCCCTGCCTTACAGACAGATGTCAAGGTAGCTCTGAGACTTTGCTTCTTCTCTTGGTTACACCACAGAGTTCTCATTATGTTCTTGTTATGTTCTCATTATGTTCTTGTATGGCTTTCTTGTTGTTAAGTGGGTGTGGGGTGGAGAGAAGCCAGCCCTTTGGTTTCAGCATCATTGAGTCTTCAACCTTCCTTTTCTCACCAAGGAAGTGACTTTTTCTGCACTGACACTTCCTAATTTTACTGCCAGTAATGAAAGCAGTGCAGAAACTGTATTTAAATTCAGTTGTGCATGGAGGCTTTTTAATTTAATGCAGTCCTGGCTGTGTTACTGTTCCACTGCTTTTATTTTGCTGTCAGGTGTTTTCGTGCGCAGGTCAAGTTGATTTTGGTTTTGTTAAAGTCTGTGGAGGTTGTTTTGTTTTCTTCTTTTGGCAAGAGCTTACTCAGCTTGATACTTCAGTCTGTTCTCATAATTGTTTTGAGCTCTTGGCATTAGTTTGTTGAACAACTGCCTTGGTTTTGGTTTTAGTCCCTTATTGGGAAGTGAAGGTTTTTACTTCCTTGTGATAATAGACTGAAATGGCAGTTTATCCTTCAAGCACTGCTGATGTTTCACAAGACTTAACTTTCATTTGGAACAAAAGTTCCAGATCTCTCCTTCCAGACACAGAAAACCATCAGGCGTCCTGTGCATTTTAGTCTGAGCTCTTCATCTCCTCCTCTCATGTAAAACTCACCTCGGTCCAGACCACAAACACTTGCATCACTGCCTGATTACAAAATCGAAAGGATTATAGAGTCCTTTTGAAATCATTCAAACCTAAGCCCTGTTTGGTTGGGGATTTTTCTGTTTCTTGAATTGAAGCTTATTTCTTAATTTTCTTCATTATTTCCCCAAAATTCCCAGCATTTACCCAAACAAAACTACCACTATCCACAGCATTCACTTTGCAGCTGCAGGATGTATTCTAGTCTCATCAGACTGGCTTTACCCTAGTCTTTCCCTTCGGCAGGAAGGTACCTTCAGCCTCAATGATCCCTGACTATTCTTTGGCCACTTCTGGCTGGTGTCCCATCTCTTGGAGGTGTTGCAGTGCCTTTTGTATCTGGTGCAGGTGTGCTGAGAGAACAGGAGAAGGTCTGGACCTCAGTTATTGCCTGGGAATTGAGCAGTGGTAACCTTAAACTGATGGGCTTAGTCCCCAAGGTGGGAATAGTGTGGTTGGCCTGGTCCCCAAAGCAGACTCCTGAGAGACGTGAGGGGTTCAGCCAGTGCCTGAAGGTGGAGAGGCTGTAGGTTGAGACACACTAGTTTGAGCTGTCAGCCTCCCCAGGAGGAAGGTGGAATGAAGTTCAGCATCTCTTCTATTGAGCAACTGTGCTTTTCCTGTCTTTTCTCTTGTTCCTGTCTTTTCGGGGAAAGAGGGCTTTTCATTTCCTCTTGTTGTTTTCCTGAGGTGGCTGTTTACCCAGTGAGCAGTGCTGACCCCTTTATCATTGAAAGCTTCACCCTGCTCCCTGCAGACCCAGCCTGAGGGATCTGTGTGTGCACTGAGCCCAAAGCCCCCTCTCTGTCCACCCAGGTCTTCCCCAAGAGTCACATCGTCAGTGCCCTGAGGACCATCTTTGAGAAGAACGTCATGAGCTTTGCTGGTGGCACCATGGGAGCAGTGAATGGCATGAGACCTAGCGGGGAGCCCGACACCTCCAGTGTGCAGTCCAACGAGGTGTGGGTTGGTGTGGTCTATGCCTTGGCTGCCACCATGATCCAGGAGGTGAGTGGTGATGCCGGCCCCTTGGCATATGCCATCTCCTTTGTGCTCTGTGGATGTGCTGATGTTCATCTTCCCTCTACTGCAGGGGCTGGTGGAAGAAGGCTTTCGTACAGCAGAAGGCTGCTACCGGACAGTTTGGGAGCAGCTGGGGATGGCTTTCCAGACACCAGAGGCCTATCGGGAGAAGAAAGTCTACCGCTCGCTGGCTTACATGCGTCCCCTTAGCATCTGGAGCATGCAGCTGGCTCTGGAGCGCAGAGCCAGCCAGACACCAGCACCCACACAGCCCACCCGGGTCCCCAACCACCCCTGAGCCCAGTGGCACGGGGCAGAGCAGCAGGTTCACCAGGAGGGCTGGTGGAGGCCCTTCTCTCCTGCCTGGTAATACTCACATCGCTGTCTTCCTTCCCTACCTCCACTACATGTCCTTCACCTCAGGGGTCTTCCAGCCACCACCACTGAGCTTGAGGTGGGGACAAGAGGTGCAGGTACCAACTCCTCAGCAAGGAGAGGAGCGGGATAAGGAGGTGCTGCTGGAGCCTGCGCCTCCCTTTCCCCATTGCTCAGGGCTCTGACAGCCTGCAGCCCCCGCCCCCCCCAGCCATCCTCAACCAGAGCTGGTACCTTGCCTCAGAGCACAGGAGCCCTCTCTCCTGTGATCAGTAGGCTGGGTAAGGTGGTCTGCAGGGCAAAACCAGTGAAAAACAAAGAGCGTGTGTGTGTGTGTGTGTGTGTGTGTGTGTGTGTGTGAGGACATGGGCCTGGTGCATGCCAGCACATGGATGCTGTAGTTGTTCATCACTTTTGTGACACTACAACTAAAGACTGGCTCTGCCCCAGGGCGGATGCAGTCCCCAGGGGAGCCCCGGCTTCCTGGGTGATGACAATCTGTGACAATCGAGCCCAAGCAGCAGCAGTAGGACCTGGGCTGGTACCATGGCCCCCCTCCCTGCTAGTGCTAGGGTGGACAGCAGAGCACGTTTTAGGGGATGAATCATTTAAGTTCTTAATAAATTTGTCCAGCTGTGTCTCTTTTGTGTGTGTCTTCTGTGCTGGGGTGGGGGGGCAGCCTGAGGAGGGAGACCCTGCATTGTTCCCTGTTTCCTTACTGGGCTGGGGATAGAGGGAGAGCCAACACTCAGCTTAATTGGAGAGGGCAAACAATTAGCTGGCTGCCTTTTGTGGGGGACTGCTAACAGGAGCAAGATGTGCAGGGGACATAGGACCTGCCCCTTGCTTCTCTGTTCCCTCCTTGTCAGAGGAAGGCAAGGAGCTTAGCGTGCTGCCTGGAACTGGCTCTGTGTGCCTGCCCTTGACAGAGTCATGTTCCTCACCTGCCCAGGGCTGGGCACCTTGCTTTGTTTTCCTAATTTCTGTGCCAGGTCAGCCTGCAAAGGCTGCACCTCCCTGGTTTTGTGGGTGCGGGGAGGAAGCCCTGCACCCAGGTTTAGCTACAAGCTCTTTCTGCCCACTGGAGAGCCTTTTGCTCTAACACCCTCTGAACTGTAAGTGCCATGAGGGTTGGGGTGAGAGGCAGCCTGTCCTTCACCCCTGTGCCTGTTCTTGCTCTGCCTGGATGCTGGTGCAGGCAGGGCATTGCTGTGGTGGCCCTGCTGCCATCAGGTGATAAATGTCACTCTGCAGGGAAGCGTTTCCACATCCGCCTGGGCACAGGAGTAACATTATCCGGGAAAGGGCAGGTTCTCCTGGATATGGCCCCCCTGGACCAGGCAACCAGTCCTCCTCCCATGGCAGCGCTCCCTTAGGGTCACTGGGCTGAGGCTGGGGGGGCGGGGGGCGGGGGGTGTGGGGCAGAGGGGGGCCAGGATATGGTGCAGCTCACTTGAGCTGCCCACTTCCTTCTGTGTTGTGTTGGCACATGGTGATGTCCCGATCCAGCTGGCAACGTACAAAACCAGGTACCAAAGGCAGCACAGCCTCTGGACCAGGCTGGGTTTGATTGCTGTGACCCACCAGCAATGCTCCTTAACCCCAAGGGACAGGCTGCCTGCAGACTTTCTCTCTTAGGTTGGGGCATTCAGGCTGTGTTCAAGGGGTATTTCTGCTTTTTCCCCCTGTTTTTGACTGTATTGCATCAGTAATACGCAATAATAAACCAGTAGGCTCAGCTTTCAACAGCAACTGCATGGGTAAAGCTATGGGCTGGGACCAAGATCCTTGGTTACAGATATGATTTTGACTAATACTTGCCCGTAACACTATTTTTCAAAGCTGACTCAATCCTGGTTTGTGCAGGAAGTTTAATTGTTCATTAACCCTTTATTCTTATTATTCATTAACCTTTATTATTCATAAACCCCTGACACACACAGATTTAAACCAAAGCCCTGCCAACTTTTAACTTCTTCAGCACTTTCTGCTTTGGACTTGTTCCCTGCCTGCCTGTTCCCCCTTGCCCACCCCCCTGCTGTGCCAAGGCTCAGGAATGGCATCTCAGGATTTAGCCATAGTAATGATTTCCAGGCTCTATCCGCTTCGCTGGCTGCCCTTTGGAGGGTGCAAATCTCACAGAGATACCCGAGGTATCTGCTTGTTTTGGTTTTGACTCCTCCAAGGCTGGTCAAGAAATCTATGTCCTTGAGCTCTGAGCTGATGCCTGCACTTTCAAGATACGCTTCTGGGACAGGGTTTGTTAAATACTGGAAAAAATAAAGGTTATGCGAAAGAAGAAGAAATACTGTTTGTGTGATGCTAAAAATGAAACCTCTGCCTGTAAAGGAGGTGTGGGTTGCTATCAGCAGCAGCGTGAGTGCAGAGACCTTGTGTTGCTCATCCCCATGGCCACTGTAGCCACAGGGAGCTCCTTGTACCAAGGCAATGGCAAGGCGATGACAGCAATGGGGTGATGGAAAGGGGGTCGTGGAGAGGGAGTAATGGAGAGGGGTTGAGGGAGAGGGGCTACTGGAGAGGGGGTATGGAGAGGGTGTGTTGGAGGGGGCTGAAGGAGAGGGGGTGATAGGGGGTGATGGCAAGGAGGTGAAAGAGGGGTTGATGGCGAGGGGGTGAAGGAGAGGGAGTGATGGGGTGATGTCAAAGGGGTGAAAGAGAGGGGGTGGTGGCAAGGTGGTGATGGCGAGGGGGTGACAGGGGATGATGGCAAACGGGTGAAGGAGAGGGGGTGACAGTGAGGGGATGATGGCAAGGGGGTTGTGGTGAGGGGGTGATGGCAAGGGCGTGATAGGGGGTGATGTCAAGGGGTGAAGGAGAGGGGGTGCTGGAGAGGGGGTGATAGTGAGGGGGTGATGGAGATCAGTGAAGGAGAGGGGGTGATAGGGGGTGAATGCAAGGGGTTGAAGGAGAGGGGTGGTGGTGAGGGGTTGATGGCGAGGGGGTGATGGAGAGGTGGTGATGGAGAAGGGGTGATAGGGGGTGATGGCAAGGGTGTGAAGGAGAGTGGGTGATGGCGAGGGGAAGACGGCTGCCCTTCCTGCCCATGCAACATTTCCAGACTGACCAAGCTCATTGTCACAAAAGTCGGCCTCACTCCAGGCAGCACCTGGTTGCCAAAAACACAGCCAAAGCAAACAGTGGAAAAACATACCTTACCATTCAGTTCATTTCTAAGACAGAGGGAAGCAAACAGAGGGGCAGGAATTTCCCGCAGGCAGCCAGCTCTCTGGCCAGGGACCCCTCACTGGCAGGGGTGCCATAAGGCTGTGTGCCTCCTGCAGAGAGGAGAGGGGAGCACTGAGGTGCTAGCAGCAGAAATGCAATGCTCCCCAGCATGGGTGGTGGTGAATATTGCTGTCAGAAGAAAACTGGGGCTCAAATGTGAGGTTAAGGGAAAGCACATCTGAGGAAGTATATCTGAGATGTTGCAAAGAGTTGCCTTGTCTCCGTTTTAGGTAAAAGAGCATTTTCTGATGAATCCTCCACAGCCTTTTGCTGTGATGCCTGGAGGAATTAAAACACACATGTTCTAGGAGGCTGCCTTGAAAATGACTGAGGAATGGGGTGAAGAGTTCTGGTTTGAATAAAGCCATTACAGCCTCTCCAGCCAGCAGCAGTATAATGTAAGGGGAAAATATATAAACACATACTTAAAGTTATTTAAGAATCCCTGCATCGATACAACCTTTGTCATCATTAAAATGTGATGTCCAAAGTATGTGGGGAATGCTTGTTTTCCATAAACAGAGCAATTCCAACAAAAGCCAGTTTGTAAAAACAACAGCAAACCTACATACCAGCCTTGAGTGAGAGGAGGACAAGTGTTCTGAAGCCTGATCTCTGGCTGCATCAGTATTGGGGGTGGATAAAGCAAAGCTCTTAAAGGAGCCTTTCGGGTGGGTTTGCACAGGGATGCCTGGTGAGGAAGAGGAGGGTGAGGCTGTGTGCTGCAGTGATATTGGGATGCCCTGGGTAAGGCTCCTTGGCACCCTTTACACACCCCAGGCACAGCAATGGTGTGGAAGAAGGGGTCCAGAAAGGATATGAGGGTGGTTTCCCCTGTCTTGGTGATCACTGAACTGCAAGAGCCAAGGTTTCCCCATGAGATGCCAGGGTAGCTTGAGCAGGGAGGGACTGTTTCAGCTGGCATTTCTGGGAATATCTGCCAGCAAGCACACTTTCATCTGTCCGGGAACTACAAATTTGGGAACACCCAGATTGCACAACGCCACCGCTGATGCTGCCACTGCAGCCCCGGCAGCAATAAATAGGGGAGAAGCAGGCACATGAGCAGAGCTCTGTGAGGAGAACACCCCCAGGTACACCTGCTGCCAGCTGCTGCAGAGATGGTGCACACAACCCCCTTCCTCCTGGTGCTCAGCCTGGCTGTGGTGGCCCCGGTCCTCTCCACAAGAAAGGTAACGGCAGGGCTGGGATGCAGGGGCAGGGTGGGCAGGGGCTGCACTGCAGCACTGGTGATGAGTCCCTTCCACCCCAGTGCACCTTGACCGGGCGTTGGATCAATGACCTGGGCTCTAACATGACCATCATGGCCGTGAATGAGAAAGGTGAATTCCTCGGCTCCTACCACACGGCTGTGACAGCCACTGGCAATGAGATCAAGGTGTCACCGCTGCAGGGGTCCCAGCACCGCACGGACAAGAACAGCCAGGCCACCTTTGGCTTCACCGTCAACTGGAGCTTTTCAGGTGTTTCTCCTTCCCCACCTCCCTTGTTGTGTCCTCAGAGCTCCACTGTGCTGTCCCCAGAGCCCCCTGCCCTTGCTGTGATGTCCATGATGCTCTTCTGCCCTCACAGCAGTGTCCTTCATGATCCCTTCCTTTCCCCTGTGGTGTCGGTGTCCCCCGTGCTCTCACATCCCCTGTGCCGTCCCTGATGCTTCTGCATCCTTTATTCTGGAGCCCTTTGGCTGGTGTCACCTCCCAGTCTCAGGGTGCAGAGGATGCTCTGGGGGGTTGCTGTGTGCCCATCTCTACTCGAGACCCCTCCTGCCTGCTCTCCCCATTACCTCTGTCTGAAGAGGGCAGGGACAGCCCGGGTCTCCTGCCCCTGTGCTGGGACAGGGTGCAGGGCACTGACCCACCACCTTGTCCATGCTCCTCTTCACCTCCTGCCCCATCCCTGCAGACTCTGTCACCGTGTTCACGGGCCAGTGCTTTGTGGATGAGGAGGGAAAGGAGGTCTTGAAGACGATGTGGCTCCTGCGGTCAAATGTGGACCGCATCGAGGACGACTGGAAAGCCACCATGTGAGACCATGCCCTGCAAAGGTCCCCTGAGCATCCCCAGCAGTGATGCACCTCCTGGCGCTCAGTACCCCCAGAGCTGCTGGTGGTGACCAAGGATGGTGCCCAGGGGTCCCACCACAGTGCATCTGCTGTTGGAGGAGACAGGGCTGGGTGGGCTTGTCCTGTGCAAGCCTGCAGTTCCCACCCTTACATCTCCTCCTCCTGTGTCCTACAGGGTCGGCACCAATGTCTTCATCCGCCTGCGCCCAAAGAAGGAGTGAGGCTGATGGGAGCTCTCGAGCTGGCTGCAGTGTGTGTCCCCCTACTCCTGATCCTCACTGCTTCTCACAATAAAGCTTTGCTGCAAACACCCACCATCCCTCGTTGTGTTGTGCCTCAGCACCCACATCCCACCACCCCTTCCACAGCATCCCTGGGGGTCGATGACCTCTCCTGTCACCACGTGCCCAGTGTGGGGGGTACCGAGCCGCTCCGTGGGGCTCCGCTCGCTGCGCCGCCGTGGCCGGTGGCCCGTGTCCCACCGCGGTGGCCTTTGGCCGGGGGCCCGGCATGGGCGGCCGCTACCCCCTCCGGCATAAAAGAGCCGGGGCGGGCACGGGCCGCAGCGTGGGCAGCGCTCGCAGCCCCAGCACCGCTGCTGCCATGGGGACCAGCGGCTGCTGCCTCCTGCTCGCCCTGGCGCTGCTCTCTCTGCGCTCCGCCGTTGCCAGGAAGGTAAGGGCAGCCGTGGGGCCGCGCTGCGCCGCGCCGGGTGTGCTCAGCGCGCAGGGTGCCTGCAGGACGGCTGCTCTCCGCGCTGCCATGCTGTACTGCGCTGTGCCGTGCTGCGCCCTGCGCTGCTGCGCCCTGCACTGCTGTGCCATGCCAGTGCCCCGCTGCTGCGTGAGCGGCCAGGGGGCTGCCTGCTATTGCTGCGCTGCGCTGTGCTGCCTGGTGCCGTGGCGGGAGATGCCGTGCCATGCCGTGCCGTGCCGCGCTGTGGTGTGGCACTCTGGCACCGTGTGCTGCGCAGTGCCCTGCTGTGCCGTGCCCTGCTGTGCCATCCCTGAGGTGCAGCGCGAGCAGCCGAGGGGCTGCCTGCTCTTGCTGCGCTGTACTGTGCTGTCCGGTGCTGTGCCGTGCTGTGCCATGATGTGCCATGGCATGCCGTGCTGTGATGTGTAGTGCCACGCTGTGCTTTGCCACCATGTGCTGTGCTTTGCCACCGTGTCCTGTGCCATGCAGTGCTGTGCCAGACTGTGTTTTTGCCACCGTGTGCTGTGCCATGCTGTTATGCACCGTGCTGTGTGGTGCTGTGCCACGCTGTACTTTGCCACTGTGTGCTGTGCTGTGCAGTGCCACGCTATGCCACCCCTGGGGCACAGTGTGCATGCCTTTAGGGGGTTGCATGCTTTCATGGTGCCATACCAAGCTGTGCCACAGAGCATAGAGTGTTTGTATCCAAGGGGCTGCCTGCCCTTGCTGTGTGCTGTGCCATGCCATGGTGCAGGACACATGAACAAGGAGGCTGCCAACTCTGGCTGGTCACCTACCCCTCTTACGGGGATACCCAGCACCCCGCTGCCCTGCCATGGGATGGGGAGGTGCTGTTCCCATCCGTCCCATCTGCCATGCAGAGGGGCTGTGGCAGCCCCATGCATGTGGGGCACACATCCCACTGCTCAGGCACGATGGAGGGTGGGCTGTGGCTTGGCACTGCCCAAGGCAGCCACACAACCCCCGGTCTCCAGTGCAACCTGCAGGGCTTGTGGAGGAACGAGCTGGGCTCCAACATGACCCTCCTGGCCCTGGACGCAGCTGGAACCTTCTCGGGCTCCTATCACACTGCTGTAGCAGCCACCAACAAGCAGATCCTGGTGTCACCGCTGCAAGGGGTCCTGCAGCACTCCAGTAGCAAGGGGCAGCCCACCTTCGGCTTCACTGTGCAGTGGCAGTTCGCAGGTATGATGATACCCAGCAGAGGATCCTGGGGCAGCCAGACATCCCCTTCCCATGCTGGCAGTGGGGTGCCACCACACACCCCCCCATGCACCGAGAGAAATCATGGCTGTGTCCACGGGCCAGTCAAGTGCTCACACTGCTGCCATGGGACTTGGTGTGGGGAGAGCTGTCTGTTTGGGGTGGCTGGGAGGAGAGTCATCTGGGAGGGTGGCAGGGATGTCTGTCTGTCCAAAGGACACGGCACGGACAATACCCATCTATCTGTCCAGGCAATCTGGAGGTCCCTCTGTCTGTGTAGTGCAAGTGGTGGGGGGTGTATGTCTGTCTGTCTGCCAGAATCAGGTTTCTCTATCTGGGGAACATACGTGGAGATCAATCTGCCTCAATTGAATCCCAACAGACTCCATCACAGCATTTGTGGGCCAGTGCTTTATGGACCACCGTGGGAAGGAGACTCTGGAGACAACATGGCTTGTGCGGGAAGAGGTCCCATCCCGTAGAGACTCATGGAGAGCAACAAGGTGAGCCCAGTCCCTGCATTAACAATAACCCTAAAATTAAATCTAGTTCTAGGCCAACCCCACAACCTAATGATAGACCTAAACCTAAACATGCCCAAAAATTAAGCATAACCCTAAACTTAAGCCTAAACTTAAACATAGACCTAACCGTAATCCAAACCCTAACCATAGCACTAAACCTACCCCTAATCCTAAGCCTAACGGTAGCCCAAACCCTAATCCTAGCCCTAGCTCTAGCCCTAACCCTAGCCCTAACCCTAACCCTAATCCTAGCCCTAACCTTAATCCTAGCCCTAGCTCTAGCCCTAACCCTAGCCCTAACCCTAACCCTAATCCTAGCCCTAACCCTAACCCTAACCCTAGCCCATAGCCCTGCCTCCACTCTGCTGACATGTCTTCCTGCAGGGTCGGCACCTCTATCTTCACCCGCATCAAGTGATGGGGATGGAGATTGGAGCTGCTTGCATCCTGCTGTCCCACCTGCATTCCTGAGGCTCTCCACTCTCCTGGTCCTGGGCTGGGCTCCTCCTTGCTCCCAGTATCCTGGCTGGAAACACACCCTCACTCTGTGCTGCTTCCTCCCAGTGCTTCCCAACATCCCTTCCCAAAGCTTGCTGCCCCCATACATGGAGCTGAATAAACCTTTCTGTGCCTGGAAAAGAGCTGTGCCCTGTGTGTCCCTGGGGTGCAAGAAGCCACCCTGTGCCCATGGGCAGAGTGAGGTGGTGGCAACGGGAGGGCAGGGAGGTGTTTTGCGGGACTGGGGGACAAGGGGAGGATAGAAGCTGGGTCATCCTGCTTCCACATCGTGGCCTCAGGCCCCTGCAGGCGCCTTCTTGCCCATGGATCCATGTGGGGCATCTACAGGCACCCTGCAATGGGTGTCCCCAGGCAGCATCCCTGGTGTGGAGCCCCATCCCAGCAGGATGTGGGCCATGGTTGGGGTCAGGGTGAAGGCTGCACATAGGAAAGCCAGCACCTCACCTGGCATCATCGTCTCTGCACCCCAGTCTGGCTCCTCTTCCCGTTGAACTCCCTTTCCAGCTGTTGCTCTGGGTGTGGGTTCATGGGTACATGTAACAGGGGAGGGCTGGGTGCCTGCTCCCACAGAGGGGACCATGGTGGGGTTTTGGAGTGATCCAAAGTCTAGGCTGGGTTCTAGAGGGACCATAGGAAGGACAAGTGGCTCCAGGGATAGCTACTGGGCAGGCTGGGCGGCTAAGGCCAGATCCTAGAGGGATCCATGCTGGATATATGCATGTATGCTTGCATTTCCCGCTATCTGGTTATCACCTGACCAGCCAGAGGGTGGAACACGGTAAGGCTCCTTTTGGGAACTCAGATTCAGAGGACAACACCTGCACATTAAACTTTATCAGTTCATTGGTAACGAAACCACACACATCAAACAATGCCCTTTGCACGGGCCGGTCCAACACGTGAACTCACTAATTTATCACTTCACTAGCTCACGATGTTCCCAACTCACAAGTTACCCAATACATAACATGCAGCTCCCAGCTTGGGTGCTCCTGAGCATCCCAGGGATGGGCTGGGAGAGACAGGAAGGGCTCAAAGGACAGTGCTGCTTGGGGAACGCGGGGCTGCTGGGGGAAGAGACTGATGGATGGGGCAGGGACAGCAAGCACACAGTGCCTTGGGGAAGCGTGGTGTCCTATCCACCATCCTCTTCCTCTCACAGTGTTCCTGCCATTCCCCAGCCTTCCTCAGCCTTTGCTCCTCTCCCTCCTTCCCTGCTGAGCTCTGGGGTTGCTCTCAGCCCCGCCAGGTCCTCAGCAGTGCATGGAACAGAAGATCTTGTCCATTCTGAAGAAAGGCTTTCTATAAATACATTTCTGACTGTTCACAACATGACTCTGTGTGTTCAGATGCAGTTTACGATGCGGCATTCCAACAAAAAGCTTATTAAATTTTCCTTCCAGTAAATGAGGCTTTTACGATAAGAATGTGAATAGAAATAGGTATGATAAAAAATATTCTGGTTTTACCTTTTGTCTAGCTTCATTTTTTGGCCTAACTACAATTCTGTGGCTTGATTGAGTGTTTTCTTTGTTACCCTGCAAGAACCCATGTTGTGCTGTGAGAACTGGGGCGCATTGCTCTCACCCAGACTTGTGTATGCAGAAGAAGGCAGCTTACAGAATCAAGGCAAAGATCCTGCTTGCAAAACTGAACAGAAACAGAAAGCAAAACCACAGGTTTGCAGGAAGCCAGCACTGCCAGTGTCAACACCACTGCTCCCAAGCTACACTTATCATCAGCCCCATAGGTGCCACATCCCTGCCCTGCCTCCTATATGGCCCCGCATCCCTGCCCTGCCTCCCGTATGGCCCCTTCTTTGATGCTTCAGCAACTGCCCTGCTCCCCTGCAGCAACAGCCCACCCTGGCCTCATCCTGCCCTGGTGTTCGCTGCCCTCTTGCTCACATCTGGTGCATGTAACCAGGGCTGCCCACCTCTAGACCTCTATGAGACACAGGGCCAGGGACCCTCAGGCTGGACAACACCAGTGGGCAACCTGAGGCAACCTGTCCTATACAGAATCAGGCTGGTTTGGGTTGGAAGGTAGCTTAAAGCTCATGCCAAACCCTGCCATGGGCAGGGACACCTTCCACTAGAGCAGGCTGCTCCAAGCCCCAACCTGGCCTTGAACACTGCCAGGGATGGGGCAGCCACAGGTTCTCTGGCACCCTGTGCCAGCGCCTCAGCACCCTCACAGGGAAGAACTTCTGCCTAAGAACTCACCTTAATCTCCCCTCTGTCAGGTTAAAACCATTCCCCTTGTCCTGTCCCTACAGGCTCTTGTTCAAAGCCCCTCTCCAGGTTTCCTGTAGCCCCTTTAAGCACTGGAGCTGCTCTGAGGTCTCCCTTAAGGAGCCTTCTCTTCTCCAGACTGAACCAGCCCAGCTCTCTCACAGCAGAGCTGCCCCAGCCCTTGCAGCATCTCTGTGGCCTCCTCTGGACTCATTCCAGCAGCTCCACATCCCTCTTGTGCTGAGGGCCCCAGAGCTGAATGCAGGACTCCAGGTGGGATCTCACCAGAGGGGCAGAATCACCTCCCTTGACCTGGTGGTCACACTCCTTTGATGCAGCCCAGGATGAAGTCTGCTCTCATGAGTTCCAGGGCATCAAGCTTGCTGTGCAGCCTCCTCACTGATCTAAGGATCTTGAACTCCACCAGTTCATGGTCGCTGCAGCCAAGGCTGCCCTTGGGCTTCACACTCACCAACAGCCCCTCTCTATTGGTTTGGAAAAGGCTCAGCATAACACCTCTCCTTATTGTATCCTCTATCACTCGGAGAAGGAAGTTAACATCAACACATCCCAGGAACCTCCTGGACTGCATATGTTGCGCTCTGCTGCCCATTCAACAGCTATTGGGGTGGTTAAAGTTCCCCATGGGGATGAGGGCTTGTGAACGTGAGGATGCTCCTACCTGTCTGTAGACAACTCATCTATAGACAGGTAGGAGCAGCCTACATGTCCTCATTGCACCTTCATCCCCATCCTCCTTCTGATATCCATCCCCATCTCTGCCTCCATCCCTGTCTCCATCCCCGTCTTCATCCCCATCCCCAGCTCCATCCCCAACTCCATCTACATCTCCATTCCTGTGGCCACCCCCACCCCTTTCCTTATCCCCACCCATGACACCATCCCCATCTCCAACCTCATCCCTATCCCCATTCCCACCTGTACCCCCTTCTCCATCCTCATATCTATCCCCATCCTCAACTACATCCTCAACTCCATCCCTATCCCCAACTACATCCTCAGCTCCATCCCTATCCCCATCCCAATCCCGGTCCCCATCCCCACCCCAATCCCTATCCCTGTCCCCATCCCCACCCCTATCCCTATCCCCATCCCCACCCCATCCCTATCCCAATCCACACCCCTGTCCCCATCCCTACCCCTGTCCCCATCCCCACCCCTATCCCTATCACCATCCCCACCCCATCCCCATCCCCAACCCTATCCCTATCCCCACCCCTATCCCTATTCCCATCCCCACCCCTATCCCCATCCCCACCCCTCTCCCCATCCCTACCCCCGTCCCCATCCCCACCCCCACCCCTATCCCTATTCCCATCCCTCCCCTGTCCCCATCCCCACCCCTATCACTATGCCCATCCCCACCCCTATCCCTATCCGCATCCCTACCCCTGTCCCCATCCCCACCCCTATCCCTATCCCCACCCCTATCCCTATCCCCACCCCTATCCCTATCCCCATCCCTCCCCTGTCCCCATCCCCACCCCTATCCCCATCCCCACCCCTATTCCTATCCCCATCCCCACCTCTATCCCTATCCCCATCCCCACCCCAATCCCTATCCCCATCCCTACCCCTGTCCCCATCCCCACCCCTATTCCCATCCCCACCCCTATTCCCATCCCTCCCCTGTCCCCATCCCCACCCCTACCCCTATCCCCATCCCCACCCCTATCCCTATCCCCATCTCCCCCCCCTCCATCCCCGTCCCCAGCCGTGTCCACATTTCTCCTGCCGATGCTTTCCGGGAAGCCAGCGCCTTAGCCATGTTATAAAAAGGGGTGGGCGGCCCCGGCGCGGCTGGATTCGGTTTCGCGGCTGCCGACGATGAGCCGCCGCCTGCTCTGCACCCTCGCCGTGCCCACCGGGACAGCGCTGGCCGCGGGGATGCAGGTGGAGCTGCGAGTCAGGATAGGACACTGGCCCGGGGAGGCTGCCCGGGACCAGGAGGGACCCTCCGGCAGCGGAAGAACCCCCCGCTCCAGCGGGAGGTCCTGCCGACGGGAGCCGGGGGATGCTCCGGGGCTGTCCTTGTCCCTGGGAGGGATGGGCAGGACATGAAGGGACACAGGGCAGGGTCCACCGGTGGGGTGGCTTCTTGCCCCTGCCTGGGGAAGTGTGGCGTGGGGAGGACAGGCTGGGTTTGGAGCTGGAGCCTTGCAAGTGGGATGCTGCAGGGGCTGCATGAACCTGAGGGTTCACACCAAGCACCAGTGCCATGCAGAGCACTCATCCCCACATGCACAGGCAGATGTGTCCTGGGGTCGCAAAGCTCACCTGCCTGCCCCTGTGTTTTACCTCTTTTCAAAGATCTTCTGCCAGGCAGATGAAACCCCAGGTGGGGAAAAAGCCAGCATGAAGGAGGCAAAGGCAACCAGCACCAAACAGCGGCTGGGCCAAAGGCAGAAACACTCCACAAGGAAGAGCAAGGTGAGTCCAGCACCCCATGGGGATGCGGGCAGGGGAAGGGGCTGTGTGCGAGCAGCCCCCAGGGACAAATCTGCTCATCCCCAGGTATGTGACCTGATTGGCTGGTGGGAGAATGACCTGGGCTCAAAGATGCTTGTGGACAAGGTTGACAGCCACGGCATCTTCTCAGGCGAGTACCACACTGCAGTGTCCAGCACCCAAAAACCCATCGAGCCATCCCCCCTTGTTGGCACCCAGCACCTGGATGAGGACGGGCTTTGCACCTTCGGATTCACTGTCAACTGGAAGTTTTCTGGTCAGTGGCTGTGCCTGCATGGGTAGGTGGGATGAGAAAGGGAGCTTAAGCAGGTCCCAGTGCCCATCCCTATCCCTTTGTTCCTACACCTGTCCCCAGTCTGTCCTTTCCTGAGCTGTCTCCACTCTGCACAATGCCTGCAGGCAGCCAGTGACCTCCTAAAACAGTATTTGAGCTGGGTGGCATCAAGAGTTGCTTTGACAGCATCACTGCCAGAGCATTCCCCTGCAAATATCAGGACCCCCCTTTTTCCCTGAGCATGGAACCCATTCGTGCTCATGAAGCCCCATAAGCAGCCGGGGTCCCACTGGGATGCTAACAACCCCTGCTTACCCTCAGACTCCACTGCTGTCTTTGTGGGCCAGTGCTTTGGTGAGGACAGAGGTGAGGAGGTCCTGCAGACCTCCTGGATGCTGCGGGAGAAGGTTGACTCCCAACGCAATGACTGGAAAGCCACAAGGTGAGCCAAGGACACCCAGCCCTACTGGGACCCCTGCCCCTCCACCAGCTGGGCACTAGTGGCCTTTTGCTTCCCCGCAGGGTGGGACGCAACACCTTCAAGAGGATGGCCTGAGAGGAGGCTGGAGAGCCTTTGTACTTCAGACTTGGAGAGCCTGAGGCCCCTGAGCACCAGCATGGGGGTTGTTACCAGCCCTGAGAGAAGATGTGCCCTCAAAACAAATAAAATTAACTATTTTTAACTTCAAACCCAACCTTGTGCAGTCTGTGGGTATGTCCCGGGGAAGCTGGGCTAAAGCACTGTGGTGGGTACAGGGGGATCTCTCACCCTGTTGTTGCAGGAAGAGAACATCCCCTTTTCCAGCCCGAATAGGATGCTGCATCCTCAAAGTGAATCTCTGGCACCAAGCATGGCAGGGCATTGGCTCTTTCCTGTTTGATGCTGGGTGAGTGTGACTGGAGGACAAGCTGGGGGCCCTTCTGCATTCCCAAAAGGTGGATGAGAGCTCCTTTTCCCCAGCTCTGAGGCAGCCCTCAGGCTCTTGGCTTCATCCATACTCCGCCAAGCAGGAAGTGCTGCTCTGTGCTGGCAGCTCAGCACTGGGAGCAGCAACACATTGAAAACTCCTCTTAGGGAAAAGTGTGTGATTTACAGGAACACGGACATTCATCAGCTGCAGCCCCAAACCTCTGCCCATTGGATTTTGTGACTTATGCAATGCGCTGGGATTGTGTGAGTCACACATCCTGGACAGAGCAAAGGATTTTCAGGAATCTCAGCTTGAAGCTTGGTCCTTTAGCTCTACACTTCCAAAATAACCCCAGATGATCAGAACACCCCATGCTGGGACCCTGCCTGGGATGTGAGCAGCCCAAGGACAGAAGTGGGTTGGTCGGACGGCCCCCTCCTGCTGCTCCCCTTGTTTTCCTGCCAGGAATGCTGAGGGAAAGCATTGTCAATAGTATCTGTGGATTTAGCATGCTTTCCACCTGCTGTGTGTTTCAACTTGCCTCATTGCAGACTTGCATGTGGTTTGACTGCCACATTTTGCTCCCTCGGGTCCATTTTCCTCTTCTGGAGCGACACTTGTGTTTCCTTCTTGGTGCTTCCCTGAAACTCCTTCAGCTTTTTCAGTTCTCTTACAGCCTTTATAAGCAGAACGTCTTTATGCCAGGTCCCTCTACAATGTCCTTTGGTCTGTGCAGTCTTTTACCTGCTTTAGAAGAGCCTGAGAATTAGGAAAGAGGGTGGCAGAGGGACTGCAGGACTCTGCTCTCACCACAAAGCATGCAGCCTTACTGCATGCATCCTCCTGACTTCATTATTGCCTTCATGCCAACAGAATGATTCAACAATTAGAGCCTGTTAGGGAGGGATGGGGTTCACCTATACAGAACCTTTGACAGCAGGCTGGCCAACTTGCTAAGATGGGCTTTAAACTGAAGGACTTTGGAGCAGGGTCCAAAGTGCCAACACACTGTTGCAGCCAACTGGGGAGTAAGGCCAACCAGTGCAGTGACAAATGTTCCTTAGCTGCCTTCCAAGTTGGGAAGTGGGATACCAACTATTTCAAGTGTATGTACAGCAATGTGTGCAATGTGTGGAACAAACAGGAGGACCTGGAGCTCTGTGCACAGTCAGAAAGCTTTGATATCACAGGAATAACTGAGACATGGTGACACAACTCACATGGCAGGACCACCGTGGTGGATGGATATAGGCTGATTCATAAAGACTTGCAGGTTAAAAGAAGAGAAGGAGTCCCACCCTATTCAGGAAAACCTAAGTCCTGTTAAGGAGAACCTTGGATGTATAGAAGTCAATGATGGGGTCTGTGGAAGCCCTACTGAATGCCTCTTTGTCAAGATCAGAGGGATCATCTCCAAGGGGGATCTTACAGTAGGCGTCTGCTACTGACATTCAAACCAAGGCACTAAGGCAAACAAAGCAATATTTGAGTCACTGAAGCAAGCTTCAGGTCAACAGAACCTGCTTCTTATGGGTGATTTCGCCTACCCAGACAATTAGTGGAAGAACAATAGAGAAGCCAGCATGTCATCCATCACATTCCTGGACAGTATAGACGACTGTTTCCTCATAGAAATGTTACATGTTCCAACCAGGAATGAGGCACTGCTGGACCTGCTGCTACTCACAAACCTAGCAAACCTGCTTTGTAGTATCTTGCTTGGCAGCGATCACTATATTGTGGAGTTTTGGATGTGGCTGAGCACTGTCTCCCCATGAGGAGTACAAGAATATTTTTAGGTTATGTAGGGAGAAAGTTAGAAAGGCGAAGGCACAGCTGGAGCTTAATCTGGCCACAGCTATAAAAGACAATAAAAATATTTTTACAAACATATTAGAAATAAAACGAGGGCCAAGAAGAATCTCCATCCTATATTGGATACTAGGGGAAACCCAGTGACCGAGCATGAGGAAATGGCTGAGGTACTCAATGCCACTCAATCCCACCTTTGCCACCTTTGCCTCTTTATAGTTACACCAGCCATTCTCAGGATACTCAGTCCCCTGAATTGGATGACCCAGATGTGGAACTGATTGAAGACCCCATAATCCAGGAAGAAATTGTCAGTGACCTCCTGCTCCACTTAGATGAACACAAGTCTATGGGGCCGGATAGGTTGCACCCAAGAGTTCTGAAGAACATGGCAGAGAAGCTTGCTAAGCCACTCTCCATCATCCATCAGCAGTCTTGGTCTAGTGGGCAGGTCAGAGCACTGAGTGAAGCAGATGATCCTAAGTGACATCACACAGTATATGCAGGAAAATGGGATCAGGCCCAGTCAGCACAGGATCATGAAGGGCAGGTCCTGCTTGACAACCTGATCTCATTCTATGACAAGGTGACCCACCTGGCTGAGGGGGAAAGGCTGTGGACATTATGCATTTGGACTTAAGTAAAGCATTTGAAACTGTTTCGCACAGTATTCCCATGGAGAAGTCGGCTGTTCATGGCCTGGATAGGAGGATTCTTCATTGGGTTAGAAACTGTCTGGATGGCCAAGCCCAAAGAGTAGCGGTAAATGGTGTCACATCTAGCTAGTGACCGGTCACTTGTGGTGTCCCTCAGGGCTCAGTGTTGTTTTATATCTTCATTGATGATCTGGATGAGGGGTTGGAGTGCACCCTCAGTAAGTTTGCAGATGACACCAAGCTGGGTGGGAGTGTCGATCTGCTGAAGGATAGGAAGGCTCTGCAGCGGGGTCTGGACAGGCTGGATCCATGGGCTGGGGCCAATGGGTTGAGGTTCAACAAGACAAAGTGTTGGGTCTTGTACTTGGGGCACAACAACCCCATGCAACACTCTAGGCTTGGGGAAGAGTGGCTGGAAAGGTGCTCATGGAAAAGGACCTGGGGGTGCTGATTGATGGAGCTGAACATGAGCAGCTTGTGCCCAGGCAGCCAAGAAGCCAACAGCATCCTGGTCTGTACCAACAATAGCACGGCAGCAGGGCCAGGACAGTGATCATCCCCCTGCACCGGGCACTGGTGAGGCTGCACCTCGAATCCTGTGTTCAGTTCTGAGCCCCTCACTACAACAGAGACATTGAGGTGCTGGAGTGGGGCCGGAGAAGGGCAAAGGAGCTGGTGAAGGGTCTGGAGCACAAGTGATGAGGAACAGCTGAGGGAACTGGGGGATTTATTCTGGAGAAGAGAAGGCTCAGGGGGGACCTTATCACTCTCTACAGCTGCCTGAAAGGGAATGGAGTGAGGTGGGGTTGGTCTCTTCTCCCAAGTAACAAGTGACAGCAGAAGAGGGAATGGCCTCAAGCTGCTCCAGGGGAGATTTAGTCTGAATAGCAAGAAAAAGTCTCTTCCCCAAAAGGGTGCTCAGGCATTGGAACGGGCTGCCCAGGGCAGCGCTGGAGTCACCGTCCCTGAAAGGGTTCAGAAACCATGTAGATGAGGCCCTCAATGACATGGGTTAGTGGTGGTCTTGGCAACCTGGGGTAATGGTTGGACTTGATGACCTTAAAGGTCTTTTCCAACCCAGCAGATTCTGTGATTCTATTAAATTGTCCAGAGCTGTCAAAAACTGTAAGAAATGGTTCTTCAGGTACGTAAACAACAGTCAGAAATAGAAGGGAAACACTAGCCCGCTGTTAAACAGGAGAAACTGATGCATTACTGTCTGGATGAGTGGTCTGTGTGCTGAGTGGGGAACAGGCTGACCGGCCTCACCCAGAGGGGGGTGGTGAACAGCTCCCGTTCTAGCTGGTGACCTGGCACTAGTGGGGTCCCCAGGGATTGATATTGGGCCCAACGCTATCCAACGTTTTCACAAGTGGTCTGGAAGGTGGGATCAAGCGTGCCCCGGCCGCATTTGCCAATGATATCAAACTAAGTGGGGAAGTAGACACTATGGAAGGGAGAACCACCTTGCAGGAAGACCTGTACAGGCTGGAAAAGTGAGCTAACAAGACCTTTGTGAAGCTCAACAAGGACGAGTGTAAGGTTCTGGATAACATGATGCAAGACTGCAGCACAGCCTGGGATCTGCCCATCTGGGGAGCAGCTCTGTCGAAACGGACCTGAAGGTCCTCGTTGACAGCAAGCTCAATATGAGTGAAGAGTGTGCAGCTGCAGCAAAGTAAGACAAGAGGATGCTGGATTACATCAACAAAGACATCATCAGTGGAGACAAAGAAGTCATTATCCCACTCTACTCAGTGCTTGTGAGGCCACACCTGCATTACTGTGCTCAGTTTCGGTCCCTGCTATACAACACAGGCTGGAGAGGGTCCGCAGAAAGGCCACAAAGATGAGCAAAGGATTGTGCAGTTTGTGAGGAAAGGCTGAGAGAGCTGGCCTTGTTCAACCTTGAGAAAAGAAAGCTTAGGGCAGACCTTACCACCATGGTCCAGTATATAAAGGGTGGCTACAAAGAGGATGAAAACTTCCTCTTTACAAGGAGTCACATGGAAAGGATGAGGGGTGGGGGCACAAGTTACTCCTAGGGAGATTCCAGTCAGACAAAAGAGGAAAATTCTTCACAATGAGAACAATCAACCATTGGAATAACCTCCCCAGGGAAGTGGTGGATTCCCCAAAGTTGGACACTTTAAGATTCAGCTGGATAGGGTGCTGGGACATCTTAATTAGAGTGTGCTTTTGCCAAGAAAGGGTGGACCAGATGATCCCTTCTAAGCTAGTATTCTATGATTCAATGATACACGTCAACATTTTGCCAGGGCTCCACAGAGGCTGTGCAGCAGTACTGAGGTGTTCCAGCGAGGTGGCATTGCTGAACATGTCCTTCTGGTGTTGTGGCCCCCAGAGCTGAATGCAGTACTGCAGGTAGGATCTCCAACATTGAGGAGTAGAGGAGGAGAATCACCTTGCTTAACCTGCTGGCCATGCTTCTTTTGATGAAGTCCAGCATAGAGTTCCAGTTTCTGCCCAGACTGTATTTGTGCTTCGGATTGACACAGCCCAGGTGCAGGACCTTGCACTTGGTCTTGGTCAGCTTTGTGAGGTTGGCATTGACCCACCTCTCTAGCATGTCAAGGTCCTTCTGCATGGCATCTCTTCCTTCCAGTGTGTCAACTTTACCGCACAGCTTGGTGTCATCAGCAAATCTGCAAATTACTGAGGTTGTACTCAGTCCCACTGTCCACATCTCCCACAGAGATGTCAAACAGCGCTGGTCCCAAAACTATGAAGAAGTCATCAGTGGTCTCCACTAAGATATTGAGCTGTTGACCACAACTCTGTGAGCAATCGTCAGCCAATTACTTATCCACCAAGTGGCCTGTCCACCAAACCCATGCCTCTCCTCTTCAGAGACAAGGACCTTGTGTGGAATCTTATCAAATGCCTTGCACAAGTCCCGGTAGATGACATCAACTGCTCTTCCCTTATCAACTAATGCTCTAACCTGTAGAGGCCCTCAGACTTGCCAGGCATGATTTGCCGTTAGTGAAGCCATGATGACTGTCACCAACCACTTCCCCCTTTTCCATGTGCATTTGCACAGATTCCAGGAGGAATTGCTCCATAACGTCAGTGGGCTCTCAGGAGGCTGACTGACCTGTAGTTCCCCAGGTCTTCCTTGTGTCCCTTTTTATAAATGGATGTTAGGTTTCCCCCTTTCCAGTCAGTGAAACCTCACTGGGCTGCCACACTTCTCAGACATGATGGAGAGCAGCCTGGCCACTTCACCCATCAGTTCCCTCAGGCCCATGGGTGCATCTCATCAAGTCCCATGGACTTGTGAACCTCCAGCTCCTTTAGAAGGTCTCAAACTTGATCTTTTCCTACAGCAGGGGGTTCCTCATTCTCCTTGTCCCTGCCTTTGCTTTCTGTGACTGGGGCAGTCTGGCTGGAGCTCTTGCCAGTGCAGACTGAGGCAAACACGTCACTGAGTACCTCGGCCTTCTCCATGTCCTGGGTAACCAGGTCTCCCCTTTCCATTCGGAGAGGGCCCACATTTTCCCCAGTCTTCCTTTTATCACCGACATACCCATAGATGCTTTTCATGGCCGTGAATGAGAAAGGTGAATTCCTCGGCTCGTACCACACAGCGGTGATGGCCACTGGCAATGAGATCAAAGTGTCACTGCTGCAGGGATCCCAGCACCGCACAAACAAGGACACCTTTGACTTCACCGTCAACTGGGCTTTTCAGGTGTTTCTCCTTCCCCACCTGCCTTGTTGTGTCCTCAGAGCTCCACTGTGCTGTCCCCAGAGCCCCCTGCCCTTTCTGTGGTGTTCCCAGGCATCCCCTGCCCTTCCGGTGGTGTTCCCAGGCATCTCCAGCCCTTGCTGTGGTGACCTCAGACATCCCCAGCCCTTCCTGTGGTGTCCCTGAAGGTCCACCAACTTCCTTTGGTGTCCCCTGTGCCCCCCTATACCCAACAGGCACCTCCCAGTCCCCACTTCTCACTCTTGTCCAGGCAGGTCCTGCCCAGCAGCAGATGGGGCAGAGCTGGGTGCAGCCAAGCCAATTTTTTAAGTAAAAACAAAGCGGAATGTGTACATGAGCAATGCAGATCCTGCTCCCCGGCAAGGAGGAGAGTGGTTCTTTGGGCATATTCAAGCCCAGGCCAGATGTGCCTGTGGGGAACTCCCAAAGCAGACACTTATGCCTGTGCTGGACAGGGACCAGAGAGGCCCTCTGTGCCCTGGGCACATCCAGGTTCCAGCTCCGTCTTCCCCTGCAGCAACATGTACACAGGTTGGAGAGACATCTTGGAGGAGGTGTCTGTGCCTTGTGCCCGTGCAAAAGCCATGCAGCCTGAAGACTCCTGGCCACCTGCACACCCTCAGTGCAGCACTGTACATTTAGGGATGCCTTGGGAGGAATCAACAGGGCTTTGCCGTGGAGCTGTACCTTGCCCAGCTTCCAAGCACCGTGCTTGTGGCGTTGCCTCCCATGAGATCTGCACATGGGGGCACCATGCACAGGGCATCCTCTCCCATGGGGATAAGCAAATTTACTTATCTACGTATCTTCCAGAGAAGCCTTTCTGTGTTTACAAGAGGGATTAATTCGGGTGGCACAAGGGACATCCAGGAGGTGAGCACTGAGCTGCAGGGGCCAAGCCCACCCCATGAGGTTCCAAGGAAGTGTGAGCAAGGGAGCACTGTTTCAGCTGGGAATATTTGCCTACCATCTCCTGTGACCAGGAGGTACAAATTTGGGAACACCCAGATTGCACAACGCCACCGGTGATGCTGCCACCGCAGCCCCGGCAGCAATAAATAGGGGAGAAGCAGGCACATGAGCAGAGCTCTGTGAGGAGAACACCCCCAGGTACACCTGCTGCCAGCTGCTGCAGAGATGGTGCACACAACCCCCTTCCTCCTGGTGCTCAGCCTGGCCGTGGTGGCCCCGGTCTTCTCCACAAGAAAGGTAACGGCAGGGCTGGGATGCAGGGGCAGGGTGGGCAGGGGCTGCACTGCAGCACCGGTGATGGGTCCCTGTTGCTACCCAAGAGGAGTCATTTAGGATGGCCTCCTTCCCCTTGGGACCAACGAGCAAGTTCGTGATACCAGGGGCTGAATTAAGGTGAATGACACCAACCAACCATTTTTATGCTATACTGCTACAAAATAGAAGGCACATGGTTAGATGCAGCATCTCAATTGGGATTACTTTAACTGGATAACCGAGTTCCGTGCTGTGAGTTTTCACTTAGATCTTGTCACTGTTGAATTAAAAGAAAGAGAGGAAGAGAGGAGAAGGAGATAAAACAGAAGAGATGATCACCACCATGATCCAGTGGCGTCCCCTTGGTCCTCTTCACCCTGGGCGTCTTGGTGGAGAGGGTCCCACCTGAGCATTCATTGATTTGGGTTTTAAGCTCCTGAGAGGATGCCTCTTCATTTCTTACGATGCAATGGTGGCTGTGGTCTGTGTCTGCGCAAGCTCAACGTGAGCGGTGGTTTCAGGGGAAGTATTTCAGGGGTTGCATCCAATGAGACCTCTCCAAGGTCAATGATCTGGCATCCTACACATGTGCAATTAGCTGTTGGAACCAGTGTTGTGCTCTTGCTTGTGGCTGTAACACCTACTGTTATAGGTGTTATAACACCCGGCAGAGACAAGGAGTCTCTTGCAAAGTTTGCAATACGTGCAACGAAGCTGGCATCTCGTGCACCGAAAAATGTCTAAGGCAAACGTCCACTCACCTGTCTGCCACAGCCCACTCCAGCCCAGTGCGTGCTGACCGGGAACTGGACCAATGACCTGGGTTCCAACATGACCATCAACCCCATGAGCAAAGAATGTAACTTCAACGGCTCCTACTTCACGGCTGTGTCAAGAAGTGGGAGGGCTATCAAGGAATCAATGCTTTGGGGGTCCCAGAACTGCACAAAGCAGACCCAGCCCGTATTTGGCTTCACCGTCAACTGGAACGGTTCAGGTACTTCTCCTTCCCATCTTCCCTGTTGTGTCCCCAGATCTCACCTACCCTCCACTGTGATGTCCCCACATCCTGCTGCTCGTCTTGTGATACCCCAGATACCTCCTTTCCTCATTTGCGATGTCCATGATGCTCTTCTGCCCTCACAGCAGTGACCCTGATGATCCCCTGCTTTCCCCTGCGGTGTCTCTCGTGCTCTCCCATGCCCTGTGCTGTCCCTGATGCTTCTGCATCCTTTACTCTGGAGCCCTTTGGCTGGTGTCGCCTCCCAGTCTCAGGGTGCAGAGGATGCTCTGGGGGGTTGCTGTGTGCCCAACTCTACTCGAGACCCCTCCTGCCTGCTCTCCCCATTACCTCTGTCTGAAGAGGGCAGGGACAGCCCGGGTCTCCTGCCCCTGTGCTGGGACAGGGTGCAGGGCACTGACCCGCCACCTCATCCATGCTCCCCTTCACCTCCTGCCCCATCCCTGCAGACTCCATCACTGTGTTCACGGGCCAGTGCTTTGTGGATAAGAAAGGAAAGGAGGTCTTGAAGACGATGTGGCTCCTGCGGTCGCATGAGTACAGCATCGAGGACGACTGGAAAGCCACCATGTGAGACCATGCCCTGGTCCCCTGCACATCCCTAGGGGTCTGGGGCTCTGCTATACCATGGTGCTCAGTGCCCCCAGAGCTGCTAGTGGTGACCGAGGATGGTGCTCGGCCACAGCCTGCCCTTGGATCCCACCACGCTGCAGCCACTGTTGGGGCAGATGGGACTGGGTGGGCATTGGCACTGGGAGGGTGCATTTGTCCTGTGCAAGGCTGCAGTTCCCACCCTTACCTCTCCTCCTTCTGTGTCCTACAGGGTCGGCACCAACAACTTCACCCGCCCGAGCGTGCAGAAAGAGTGAGGGAGGCAGCATGGGGGTTCCTGAGCTGTCTGCAGCCCTGGGGTGCCTGCGTCCCTGGTCCCCCATTTGCATCTCCCAATAAAGTTTTGTTGCAAGCACCCACTGTCTCTTGTCCATGTCACTGACAAAGATGTTAAACAGCACTGGTCCCAAAACCAACCCCTGAGGAGAGCCACTCATCACTCGTCTCCACTGGGACATCAAGCATTGACCTCAACACTTTGAGTGTAATCATCAGCAAGTTCCTTGCCCAAATGGCCCATTCCTCAAGCCGATTTGTCTCTAGTTTAGAGATAGGGATGTTGTGTGGGACATTGTCAGATGCCTTGCACAAGTCCCGGTAGATGACATCAACTGCTCTTCCCTTATCCACTGATGCTGTAACCCTGATGTAGAGGCCAACAAACTTGTCAGGCATGATGTGCCATTAGTGAAGCCATGATGACTGTCACCAACCACTCCCTCCTTTTCCATGTGCGTTTGCACAGGTTCCAGGAGGAATTGCTCCATAACATCAGTGGGTTCTCAGGAGAGCAGCCTGGCCACTTCACCCACCAGTTCCCTCAGGCTTCCTTTTGGTGCTGGAGTTCATCCAGGAGCAAATTGTTCTTCCACACAGGCTTCTTGTTGTTCTTGCCTGACTTCCCTTTTTTGGGACAATCGCTCCTGAGCTTGGAGGAGGTGATCCTTGAATGCTAACCAGCTTTCTTGGGCTCCTCTTCCCTGCTCTATCCCATGGTACTCTACCAAGCTGATCCCTGAAGAGGCCATAGTCTCCTCTCCTGAACTCCAGGATGGGAAGCTTGTTGACCCACTGTTCCTGCCCCCTCTGCTGTGTCTGCATGGACATCACTCCTGCCAGCCCCCTGCTCAGGATGCATTCCCTGCTCTGCTCCTCTGCCTCTCTCCTTGCTTAGCACAGACCATCTTCCTGGGAGGATGGAGCAGCTCCTCGGGCAGCTCCGAGCTTCCCCTCCATGGCTCCCAGGGAGCCCTGTCCTGCTGCCCTGCCTGCACCCTGGCTCTGCTGTAGCTTAGAAACAGTGGCAGAGAAAACAGCTTAGACTGAGCAGCAGAAACTTGCAGCACAGGGGAGGATTGTGAGAGGATGAACCCTGCAGGCACACACACACACCACCCTTCAGTGCAGCAGGGGAAATCTGTCCAGGCTGCGATTGCTGCATCACTGTGTTTGAATGGGAGCACTGGGATGGTGCCAGCAGGAGACTGCTAGGCTGTGCCCACCTGGAGGGCTCCATCACAGAGCAAGGAATGGGTTGGCAAAGCCTCTTGGACAGTGGATGTGCAAACCATGCCTGTGCCCTCGCCTCTGCACAAACCCATGCTCAGATTCATGTTCCTCCAGCACTGCCTGGGTCACGCAGACCTCCTCGCCTCACCTGTCCTGGGCACCCTGACACCAGGCCACTGTCCCATGGCTGCTGGTCCGGTGCCAGTGGGGCTCTGGTTACAGCCCTATAAAGGGATCAGGGTGCAGGGCTTGGTCAGGGCAGCCGTGCTGTGCACTTCCCAGCCCTGCATCCATGGAGAGCAGCACTTTCATATTGGTCCTCGCAGTGGCCCTGGTGCCGTTCGTCTCCCCTGCAGAGAAGAAGGTATGGGGATGGGGAATTGTGGTGATGTGGCAATGGGATTCAGTGTGGGCAGTCAAGGATTCTCTCTTCAATGCTGTTTTAGGCTGGGACAAGCAGGAGAACTTTGCAAGTGCCCAGTCTAGGCAATGGGCAGGGTATCTCTAGGTCACCCACTCAGCTTTGCTCTCACAAGGCGTCTTGCACAGAGCATTCCCTCCCATGGGGTCTGTTCTCAGAAGCATCATGCATGGAGCATTCCTTCCTATGGGATATGTGTCCAAGGCACCATGCACAGGGCGTCCCTTCCTACTGCCCAGGGGTGCAGTGCATAGAGCATCCTTTCCTGTAGAGCCCATATCTGGTCATACCATGCATGCTAATAGACTGAGATGTGCTGGCCTTGCTGCACCATTCACTTAGCAGCCAGCTAAGGTAGCATATCCCCAAACTGGGGACAGGTAGAGCCATGCCCCACAATCACACTTGCATCAGGGCTTGCAGCTCCATCCATGGGGCAATGGGAGGGATGGGGACCCCTATGCACCATGCACAGAGGGCCTGTGGCTGTGTCCCCTTAGTGCCAGCTCAGCGGACTGTGGAGGAACGAGCAGGACTCGCTGATGGAGATTTCAGCACTGAGGGACAACGGGGACTTCCAGGGCAAATACCTCACACGGGTCACGCTCGCTGGTGGCTGTGCCCGTACCTCCCCATTGAAGGGTGCCCAGCAGCAACCTGGTGAGGGAGGATGGCCCACCTTCGCCTTCACCGTGCGCTGGGACAAGTTCTCCAGTAAGTGCTGGGATACCTGGAGTTGGCACCATGGGGGTACCGGGAGCCATGCAGCTCTCTGCTGGGTGATGTTTTGGTGTAGCTAAACAGAGAGAGGCAGCGGCAGCCCTTTCTCACGCAGCATCCCAGACCCCATTAGGACACAGGGGATGTGGTGCTGAGGAGCCTGCCTTATCCAAGGGAGCTGCCAGGGAAGGGCAGGTCCCAGCGGTACGGTTTGGGGGTGCAAGGCCATCAGAACACAGGGAGGGGGATGCACACAGCACACAGCAGGCATGGGTGCCATCCCCACTGACCACACCAATCCTCCCCCAGATGCCACCACCACCTTCGCTGGGCAGTGTTTTGTGGACTCGGGTGGAAAGGAGACACTGAGCACCATGTGGCTGCTGCGTGAAGCTGTCGGCTCCCTCGAGGAGGACTGGAAAGCCACCAGGTAATGGGAGGACGTGGGGGACACAGGAGCCCTCCCCAGTACCCCTGAGGAGGAGCATCCCTGTGGAAGGAAGACCCCTGTGAACCCCTCAGTGTGGGTTTGCAGTGGCGATGTCGATACCTCCTGGCAAGGGGCTTGCCCAGGCAGGGGCACCGCTACTGGGACACTCCTGTCACCTACTGGCACTGGCAGCTCTGAGGGGGGGTGTCCATGGTCTCTACTTCCCACAGGGTGGGCAGAAATGTCTTCACACGCAAACGCACCCCGAGAGGAAAGAACCTGCCTAGCTCATTCCCATCCTGTGAGGACACATCTTCACCCACCCCATGACTGTGCTCTGGCTGCAGCCCCCCAAAGGCAAGCAAAACCAGCCTCTCGCATCAAAATAAACCTTAAAGTCATGTCAGCTGTGGTTGTCTGTCTCTGAAGACTGCCCTCGCTCCCCCTCTGAGGCAGCTTCTGTCTCCGCAACACCACTGCCCTTTCCCAGCGACATCTGCATCCCTCCCTCATCCCCCCATCCAGCCCTTTGGGACCATTTCCTACCTCATCTTAACCCAGACTTCCACCTTGCACCATTACTCCCTTCCTGCCTGCTGATCGCAGAGGTGTCATCATCATCCTGAATCCAGACAGCTTCCTTGTGGTGCCTTCATATCCATTCCTACCAGACACTTTTCCAGTGTCAGGACTCTACACTGTGTGATTGGGTGGTTGAGGTAATGGTATCGGTAAATGTGAGATGTCAGTAATGTGTTTTCTTCATGCTGCACAGCACCTGAAGTAAAATGTGCACAGTTAAAGCTCCCATCCCATCATTCCATCATATCCCATTGCATTTCATTGTATTGCATCACATTGCATCCTATTGGATTGCATCGTATTGCATCTCATTGCATTGCATAGCATCTCATCCCATTGCATTGCATCCCATCCTGTCACACTGCATCGCATCCCATCCCATTGCATTGCATCGCATTGATCATATCCCACATATCTCATCATTCCCCTGGGTTACAATCACAGATTTTACCTCTCTCTGCCGCTGCATTTCGCCAGTGTCACTCTATCTGTTTCTGTGGATGGCTGCCAAGCTTAGTCAGCTCTTTCCATCCACTGTTTTTGGCAGGTCCATGGGTGAAGATGAAGCCTCCTACAGAAGCGTTACAAATATAACCCAGCCCCAGCGATGCCAGCACACTATTTGCACAGCCCATAGAGCCTGGCCTAGCCCCAGCATGCTGCTATGATATGGGGCGGTGTCTGCCAGCTCCCTGGCACCTCAAGCAGGGCAGTTTGCCCCTTCCAAACAGTGCAGAAAGGCAGGGTGTCAGGCTGAGAGGATGGAGCGTGGCATCCAGGGAACAGCAACAGATCCCCTGGGGCAGGGAGGATTTCTCTAGCCGCTGTGATAAGCTGTGAGTTCGGGTCTGTAAATGGAGTGGATGTTCACACACCAGAGCCCTGCTGCTCTCCAGGGCCCCAAACGCTGCTGTCCTGGGAGGAACATGTGTTTATGCAGCTGAATCCCACCTTACTTCCCAGTTGCCTGCAGCCCCATGCCTGCTTCAGGCACTGCAGCAAGCAGAGAAGCAGCTCATGAAAGCAGGGTCAGTCCATGCTGTGCTGTGTACTTACAAAGCCCCTAAGAGGAGCAGATATAAGGAAGAGGTGCTGGTTTGCATGCTACATGTGTTCAGCAAACACGCTTGTTTGGACCCCAGTGTGCCTTTGTGGTTACTCCTTCCTTTAACACTTGTAAAAGCCAAACCAGCTAAATTAACATCTGAAACTCAGAAGATGCTGTGGAGATGTGGTGGCTGCTAAAGCAGATGGCAGGGTAAGCCTTCCCTCCTGTGCAGCTTGCCTTTACCAGAGATGTTCGGCACTAGGGTGGTGACACCAAGCAGGGAGCAGTTCCATGTTTAAACAGGCAATAATTCCAGCCTGTGTGCACTGGGAATGGGTGTTTGATGCTTCCGAGGCCGCTGTAAAGTGCCTTTAAAAGAGCCTATTCCTCATCTTCCTGCACAGCCGTGCTCATTCCTGCATTCCTCCAGCACTGCCCAGGTCACACAGACCTCCTCACCTCATCTATCCTGTCCCCGGCACCCTGCCACTGCCAGCCCACTGCTCATGGGCTCTGGTTACAGACCTATAAAGGGCCAGGAGGAAGCTGTGCTTCCCAGTCCTGCAGTCATGGGGAGCGGTGCCTTCGCCCTGGTCCTCACCCTGGGCTTGGTGGCCTGCATCACCCCTGCGGAGAGGAAGGTAT